TTTTTTTGCCCGATCTGGAGGTTTGTGGTGGGAGGTAGCCCGTTGGTCGAATCGGTCGTTATTCTTGGATTTCTTGCCGAGAGTGGCGATTCTTTCTTTTTTCTTTTCTTTTTTTTTGGAATCGGAAACATCCTAAAGTGGTGTTTAAGTTCATCTTTGAGTGGAAAAATAGCAACCCTTCGGTTGTTATGACATGATGGCCTTATCATTTCTGGAACCAATTTACGCAGAGTACGTGATGTGGACATGAAGCGTGATTATGCATTTGTGGTACACATTTCTTCTTTTTATTATATGAGATTGTGATTTATCATTTGGTAATTAGGTGATGTAATCCTTTTTTTTCATGCAATGCCATCCGTCATGTGTGTTCTTCTGTTCCTTCTTCATTGAACTGGAAAATGCAGGAATTCAGTGATCCTCGAGATGCTGATGATGCTAGGTATAGCTTAAATGGACGGGATATTGATGGGAGTCGCATTATAGTGGAGATCGCCAAGGGGGTGGGGATCAAGTGCTATTTAGTTGATCTTTGATTATCATTTTCCTATGCTTCTTTTGATGGCCCGTTTTGTGATACTTACAAGTTACAAATACATATGGGCAGTGTTAGTCATATGGTCATTGTAAGATAATCTAGGGCTTTGTTAGATTGGAAAAAAAATAAGTTGTGGAAAATGTTCTTGAGGAAAACAAGTTGCATGATTTGTATATATATTGAAAAAGTTGTTTTCCCCCAAAATTCCAAGCCTTCTAAGAAAACAATTTCCTAGAAAGTAGAAACAAACAGAACTTTAAGTTACTTTTTTATGGTGCATCTATATGCTATCTTATAGGCATTTTGGTTTTGGAGATGTGTAATATAGAAGCATAAGCAAACACTGTTGTCTGCTATTTTCACCCTAAATGGTGCCATTGTTTTCCATCTCTATGTTATAGTTCTCTTGTCCTTGTTTTTGCATTTAACATATTGTTGTAATAATGTTTATAATTATGATTATTTTATCATTTCCATTTGTCTAATGGTCACATGGCTTGTTCTAAAAAAATCATTTCTTATCATAGGTGCCTCGTGATGCCGGTGGATACCATAATGGATCTCGTGATTATATGGGCCGAGGTCCTCCTCCAGGATCAGGTCGTTGCTTCAATTGTGGGCTAGATGGGCATTGGGCTCGAGATTGCAAGGCTGGAGACTGGAAGAACAAATGCTATCGTTGTGGGGATCGGGGACATATAGAAAGGAATTGTCAAAATAGCCCTAAGAAGCTCAGGTTCTGATTGATATACACATTTATTTCATTGATGATAATCAATGTGGATACCTGTGGACTGCTGACTAATGAATATTTATATGTTTTGTTGCAGTGGACGTGGACGGAGTTACTCTCGCTCGCCATCTCCCCATCGTCGAAGGAGCCGTAGCCGTAGTCGTAGCAGGGGCCGTAAATACAGGTTTCCTTCAACTATATCCCTTATCCATATTCAATATATTTTTATTTTATGAATAATTTAAATGAACATAAACTAAGATTTGAGGATGGGTGGGTCATTTATCTTCTTCCCACCATTTCATCCATAAAATTAAGTTTTTCATTACCTTTATTTTCTTCTTCTTATTGCCTACTTATTAAGCTAACAAATTAAAATAAGGAACCAAATTCGTTATATATTTGGATACCGTGATCCTTTTCAATTTATGAAAATGTACGCACGCAGTCGGTCTAGATCACCTGTTAAAAGGGTGCGAAGCATTGAGAGTGAAGAGAGAAGGTCAAGGAGTCCCCCAAGGCATAATAATAATAGTAAGTCTCCATCGTCACCACCACCACCACCACCAAAGGGAGGGAAGCATAGCGCCACACCTGAAGATGAAAGAAGCCCCGAAGAGAGAGGGACAACATCCCCAATAGACAAAGACATGGCAGTCAATGGTGGTGCTTCAGAGTACGAAAAGAGTCCTAAGGATGATGATGATGATGATGATGAAATTGAAAGGGCCGACCCAAGATATGACGATGATCACGAGAAAAACATCAGTCCCCACCATGAAAATGACAACTCTCACGCTGGTAATAGCCCTATTCCTGAGGATGACAATGGAAGCCCCCAAGATGATGGTGGTGGCGGCGGTGGTGATGATGATGATGAAAGGCATGGTTCTCCGGAGGGAGGTAGTGTGTCACCTTGATTCGGCACATTTTACTTCATCCATATTTTGTTGCATGTATGGGTTTGTAGTGATTGAACCAAAACTGTTTTATACTTTTAATATTTCTTCAACTGTTACAACATACTATTAAAATCTTTATTTTATTGGAGGACATGAAATAATCTGCTGTAATTTGAGGTTCATTGTGGCACAAGGTTAATAAAGCCATAGGTTTCTCCAAAGATATAGCGCAGCTCTTTGCATAGTGTGCTTTGTGTTTATGTTTGGATGAAGTCTTGAGTGGGAAAGCTTAAGGGTCTGAAGAACAAAGTAGTGTTGAAATGGAATGAGTTTTGGAATCTGAAATGGAGATGTAGAGATAAAAGAAATAGTCTTCGTCTCTCTTGTTTAGTGAGCAGGTAATGAATCAAAAGGTATTTTCATCATTTTAAAAGATAAGCAAAAAAAACCGGGAAAGACACAGAGTAGAATGTTTTTAAATTAACCGGGAAAGACACGGAGTAGAATATTTTTAAATTAAAAGTTCATTTTGGGACGAACAGAACATACCAAACTACTACTCTGAATGTGTGTAGAAGTTCTACGAGGGATCTAAAGCCACCCGCGTTGAGGATGGAGAAGAAGAATTCCTCTAGGAGGACTAGCTGCCATAGATGGAGGACTCCCACTGGTTCAGAATCCAAGAGTTTATTTTCTTGAATATAACAAACTATCTGCCATATGTGTGTTGGGAATTGATTTTATTCTTTTTATAGGAGTAAGTTTAACTAATTTTGTGGAATAATTTTAAAGGGAGCGTTTAAAATGACACCAGTTACTTATACACCAGTTGCTTACACCAGTTCGTTTGGGGTACCTACGGTGCTCCGTTTGTAAAAACGACGGTCCCTACCCCTCCTAACCCTCCCCCTAAACCCCCCCACCCTTTCCCCCCCACCCCAGCCCCCCCTTGGCAGTGTACTGCCAGTGTAGGGAGGGGGGCGAGAGGGGGGGCTGGGGTGGGGGGTTTAGGGGGGGTAGGGACCGTCGTTTTTACAAACGAAACACCGTAGGTACCCCAAACGAACTGGTGTAAGCAAATGACACCAATAGCACTGGTGTCATTTTACACTTACCGAATTTTAAATGTGTGTTTCTTATAAAGATCTAAAAAAGCGTGCATTTTCTGAATGCATATGATATTTTTATTTTTTAATCAATTCATATGAATTACTCCCTCCGTCCTATAATGATCTTCCCAGAGCACTATTCCAACTTCACGAGAATTTATATTTATTTGTGTTTTTTCATGGCCTATATGATAAAATTAAATATTCTTGTCACCACTTGTTTGGTTGAACTTTTGGTGTAGTTTTTAAATATGTATGTTTTATTTTTTATTTCTATACCAATATTTAAATAAAATAGATTGAAAAAACTTGGGATTTTTCTTCGTTTTGTGAACCGGGAAGATCATTATAGGACGGAGGGAGTAAAATAATGGTATAGTGTTTATGTCAAATAACAAAATAATTATTTGGGTCTCATGTGAATAGTGCTTTAGTACTCCGTTTGCTGTAAAAGAAGAGGTCAAGTTAGTGGAGAAGTTATATATACCCCTCGTCCCCCTAAGATATTCTTGTTTTGACTTTTTGTGGTTTTTAAGGATAGTTGAAAAAAAGTGAAAGTTTATCAAAATACCTCTTAATGAAAATGGATGAGGTGTATTAAATAAAGTAAAAAAGGTATAATAAATAAAGTAAGTGGGAGTAATTGTGATATTTTAAATGTTAAAAAAGGTAATGAAAAGATTTATGTGGGACAAATAAAAAAGTCTAATGAGAAGATGTATGAGGGACGGAGGGGTATTAAGTCTATAGAATATGATGCGGAGAAGAGAAATAGATAGTAATCCTTTCAATGAAGGTTCCTTACGATTAATGAGGTCTACATAGAAACTCTCGGGCAAAAGTTTACTTATTTATAACAAAAAATAAAAAAAATATTAATTCAATATTTAGAAAATTTTAGGGTAATTATTTTTCTTTTATGAAGATTCGCCGTGGACTTTAGGTGAATGTAAAATTTTGCCTTATTTATTACGTAGTATGTATTTACTCCCTCAATCCAATTTTAATTCAACATTCACTATTTATATAATCAAACTTTATTCATTTTTTTTACATTTTTTGTTACCCATTTGATGAAATTAAATAATCATCACCTTTTGATGTAGTTTTTAAATCTAGTACAATTATTTTGATACTATAGAGTACACAGTAACTTCTAGTTTCCAAGTGGCAGTGCCAAGTTCACACCTTTTTTTGTTAAATCCACTCTATTTATAAGAAATAAAAAATTTTTGTCCTTTGACTTTATTACTCTTTTTTTAAACATTTGAGAGTAAACTTGTCTGTTTGAATAAACGAAGATTAAATTTAGCAATAAGCTTTTCCAAGTCCATAATTAATTTTCTAACAGTGAGAACAATATTGCCTCATATGATCACTTTCTTCCTCATCATCTCTACTATGCATCCCAAAAACAGTCTTGCCAGCGAGATGCCTCAAACTTGTAATCAGAGATATAATAGATACCCAACTTTACACAAATTCAAACTTGAAAAAAAAAGCAAAATGATAAGGCTTTTAGAGACAAATAATAAACTCCATGGTGCAATGGAGACTTTCAATCTATTATTGGGTAAGACCACAACTGAAGCACCATAAATCACTGAAATGGCAATTTCTGCAACAAAACAATCTGATCATTACAGGGTATATAGGTCATTGTGTGATTTATGTACAAGTAACATTTAGACACTGGGTAAACCCCCTCTCCAAGACTCTTAGAAATCATTTCAAGCAGAAGATCAAATAGTAGGGAAGCTGCACTCATCATGATATATAGGCCTTGGTTAGATCTGTGTAGTCGCAGGTGACCCCGGTACGGGGGCATGTGATTCTTCCATTGTTCTTCTTTGCCATTTCCTCCAATGCCTTGCAACATTTATTTAATAGAATAGAAGAAAAGTTCACATAATCATAATAAGGGCCCGTTCGGTGAGCAAATCAAGATTGATATATATGGGATCTGAAATCTGAATGAAAAGATTTGAGTTCTGAAATGATATGGTTATTAGTGACCGGAAAGGGGCGGTCGGCGGTGGCCGGGGCTGACAGCAGTGGGTGTCCAGCTGTTGAGGGAAATATCAAAACACCCCTGTTGGATGGGTTGTGATATCGGGAGATATCAAAGCAGAACTCTGTTTTGACTTCACCAAACACTACAAAAGGATTCTCATTTTGGGAGATATCAAAAATTCAAAACACAAATCTTCAGTGCTCACCAAACGGGCCCTAAAAGTTCAGTAACAATGAAAAAGAAGAAGAGCTACCAACCTTAGTGCTGTAGACATATCCGTTTGGCAAGACTAGTGGAGGGTTTTCAGTATCCATCAACTCCTTTGTTATATAGCAAACGAGTTTTGAATGACGCTGTTTGGAGAATGGCAGTGGTTGTGATAATTTACGGAAACTCTCCTGCGACAATGGGTCTTCCTTTGGACAGTCATCTTGATAACAGAATCTATATGCGGTCAAGACAAAAACAAAAGCAATACAAGTGGAAAGGAGCACACATTACAACATTAGATTTCCACAAGAGGAAATGGCTCAGACACTCCAGGGATGCAGTATAGTTAACAATTAAAGGAGCAATAATGAAATGTTACATACACAACTAGGAGCATGTTTGGGAAACCTTATGGTACATATGTTTTTATTGTTCTCATTTAAGAACTTAAAGTGCTTTTGACAAGGGAAAAAAAACAAATAGTTGCTTTCTTAAACCATTCATTAAAAGTGGATTTTTTAAATTGTAATATTATTTTTCCATTTCCTGCTAAGCACTAAGCTTATGAAGTAAAGTACTTTGCTTCCTCCAAAACAACTTTGAAAGTATCCCAAACACACCTTAAGAGTATTCAATACATCTAAATAAATACAACAATAGACCTAGTAAAATCCCACAGGGTGGGATCTGGGAAGGGTGTGTGTATGCAAACTTTACCCCTACCCGGAACATTGAGATTATTTCCAAGAATACATTTAAATTAGGAAAATTATAAACAAATCCTTTTGAATATCGAAACTAAATATAGTGCTAAATGAAACCTCATCATATTTAAAGTGACAGAATCTAGTTTAATAATTTTTATATATTCAATTTTGGGTGTCTGAGTGTCTCAGCTATGTGGTTGACTGTGATTAATGGAATAAAGCACTTCACTCAACTCATATGAAGATGAAGAAGAAGAGAAAAATAAAAAGATCAAACATGTTTTGAAACAAAAATGTTTTGTTGATACTTCAAACAATGCATCATATGGATACGGAGTTTTCAGCACACAGATGCCTGCTTGAAGGTATATGTTCAACAAAGGCTCAAGGGTAATGCCATACAATTTGCAAAACTCTTGTTTGAACTGATCGACTAGGTAATCCCATTGCTTTGCTTCAAACAACAACTGCAGAGGAGTAAAGAAAGCACAAAAATATCTTTGATGAGACATGCAAACTGATAATATCTTGAGAACTATCAGAAATTCAGCACGATCCATTGTGCAAATACAAGTAAATGCATAGATTCATCTTCAATCAGTTCCATGGTGGAATGGAAACAGGGAAACAAATCTTGCTTGAGATGCAAATGAGAAGTTGGTCTTTGCATCCCATGTTTAACAACAATATTTAAATTTACACTCCATGTTTTATTCTCTTTGACCATGCACCTGTTAGCTAGAGCACCCCACCATGGGGCGCAATGTCATATATTATAGCAACTCATGTGGAGAAAAGTTTGACGAATGGGGTGCTAAGTCTAACAGAAATGACCTGAGCCACTCTACGGTGCATTTTCAAAAGAAAATAAAACATGATGTGCTAAGTCGAATACTATGATAAAACCTGGGGTTCGACATATTTTCCCTAAAATAAAAAAGGGTTGGCATACCTTGTATGCTGCACATTCAGTATTACTCTTAAAAGCAACTGTGGTCGCAACTCTCTGGAACTCTTTCATATGGGAGGACCCCCACGAAGACAGATACTTCCGGGCATACATAATAGCTTGCATCCTTTTTTCATCTCTTACCATCTCTACGAATTCTTGCAGTCTCAAATGAAACTCAAATTTGCTCTGCCACAAACATGAAGAAGTCAATTCACTAATTGCTGCTGATATTCCTTGCATAAAAAAGGATATTCACCAACGTCCAACGGAATGGTACTGTTTTCAGATAGGAGAACATGAAAAGCACTGTGGTGAGTAGAAAAGGCACTGTAGTCACTGACATTCCATGCTTCTTTTTATCATGCTTAGAAAGTTAAGCTTTAAATCCTAGTCTTCATAGGTAATAGCTTCATCCATAGCATTATTATTATTATCATCATCATCATCATCATCATCATTATTATCTAAGTTTGCGGCTTCATCCTCATAAGTGATTTCTTCATCCATAATAAGTTGTAGTAGTAATAGTAAAGAGAGGAAACAGGAAAAAAACAGATCAGATTCAAAGAAAATTAGAGAGGAAAGATTAGACTTGTGGTTAATGGAGTACTGTTCGGTTATTAGTGACCAGAGAAAACAAAGCACGCTCTGTAAGGGGCTAAGGGGCGATGATGAGAGATGACTACAGTTCATTGTCTAAAAAGGCCAAAAAAAATGAGGGGGCTAGATTAGAATTGTAATTTGTAAGTGGAGGGATTGATGCCCAAAAGCTTAAAGATAGCCTTCAAAGTGAAAAAACGTAACCCACTCTAAAGAGGGACAGACTACATATTCTTTTCTATACAATTGAAGCTTAAGCCTCAGAGCCATTAAGCCTCGCGCCTCTTCACCTCCAACACCTTAAGGTGTAAGCCTCGTTTTTATGGACTAAGGCTTAAGTGTTTTCTTCTTGCCTTGCACAGTTACGCTACCGTTGTAAGCCTATCGAGCCTTTTAAGATCATGACCACCATAACCCTCAATCCAAACGGACATTTAAACAATAGACCATTGTGTGATGCAATATTGCAGGGCTCCACGTGTTATGTGAATAGTAAAGTCTCACTGTCAGAAAGTTCTGGATACAAAGCTTAACCGTTTCAATTTGCATAAAGTTGCTCTTAAAGAAATAAGCAATCCATCCATTCAGAACATTCAACTCAATACGCCAGCACAGAAACAAACTAGGAATACATCAAGTAAGAATTTAAAACCATATTATCATAAATTTACATGTAGCAAGCAAAACGACGTAAACATGTACCTTTGATTTTTTCAGCCTGGACTTGTTTTCAGCACACCATGCCAAGGCTGGGGATACCTCCTTGTTGTGAATAGCATCAATAACCTTCTTTGCTTCATAAAATACCTCAATATCAACAAGCTCCTGGAATGTACAGCATAGAATTCAGTTACCATCACAAGCCATAGATGCACTGGAGAAGAACTATTCAAGAAAATGATGTGTAATAGAGCCGATCACCATTATATTGCTAAAATCTGCAAACTTTGTAGCGGTATCATAGTAAGACATCCTCAACATGTAATCTACCAGCATACGATTCAACCGGTTGCAGTTCAAAACTGATAGGTTCTCGGCATTCATTGATTCTAAGTGGTCAAGACGTGCTCGACATCTCTGAGCTTGCATGTTCTCCATTTGACTGCCCTCTTCCAACTTTTATTATTCAGATATGAAAACTTATAAGTAAAGTGATTACATATTTAATACCTTATTGAACTTAATAAATTCAAATAGCATTGCACATCCTCACATAAACAAAATTCAAATCTTTTCAGGCCGTAATACACTCCCTCTGTCCCGTTGGATTCTTGACATATAAGATTTCACGGTGGTTAAGGCATATGAAATAATCTTGTTTACTTTTTTACCCCCTAAAAGTACCATTAATAAAACAATGAAAAGTACAAATGACTGATAAGTGAAGGGCGGGATGTAGGTAGCAAAGATAGTAAGGAAAACAGGGTGGGTTAAAATGGGAGTGACATGAGTACATGACCCATAGAAAGAAATGGTAAAATGAACATTTCATTTCTCTATTTTTACTAAAAATGGAAGATGTAAAGAATCTACCGGAGAAAACAGTGCAAAGAATTTAATGGGACAGATGGGAAGGATGGAGTAGTATGCAAAACGCATACATAACTGGGTTGTTTGCAAAGCTACTAGCAGTACAAATCATGATTGCCCATCTTGATTGCGCTATCTATATATCTTGATCTCAATCATTTCCCAATAAACGAATTTAACTAACACAATAAGTGTAAAAACCTTAGACTTGTTCATTAACTAAGACTCAACTCTCTCACAATTCCATACATATACCTTCCGTTTAAGGCCTTGCAGCCTATAGACAAGCGAATTGATGCGTTGAGCTGCTTCATCGCCGGCGATGTCAGACTCCGCGGCTTCTCCGACGCAAGAGAGTAATGATGAAACTTCCTTCTCGATGATGCGGTGGTTGGAACGGACCATCTTCCTGTATTGCTCGAAGGGCACGCGGACAAACTGATGTTCCAGTTTCAAGGACTCCGTCAACTGGCTCAACTTAGCGGGTGCTGATGAGTCTACGGGAGTGGAGGCGTTCGAGGCGTTGCTCGTGGCGGAGGCCGGTGTGTAGACGCCGGGATCCGTTTCCATATCCATCGGCAGGATCTGATCGCACAGTGAGGACTAGAATTGTAGTTTATCGGAAGCAATACAAAAGTTCATAGATAATTAGGGTCCGTTTGGGTTGGAAAGGGGAAAAAACAGAGTCATTTTTTCATTTTCTTCTGTGAGTCCTTTCGAAACAAAGATTGGAAAATAAGATGTGATCATCAAATAGAAAAATATGATGTTTTAAATTCTCATCTTATTTGATCTGATTAGATTAGATTATTAGATTCAATTTAATCTGATTAGATATGATTTGATCAGATACGATCTGATTAGATTAAATCTGAAGTTAATAAATTTAAATTTGATTTAAATTAAACTTATAATTATTACAAGAAATTTATTAATTTTAAAGTATAAAAATTCATATATACATAGAAAAATTAAAATAAAAAATCATTGACAATAACTAATTTTGTCCTAAATTCACCCCCTAGTATATTACATATTTTTAAGTTTAAAAATAAGTCTTTTTAAATATAAAAGTACTTATGGTTTTAAAAATTAAGTTTTGTATTGGTCTTTTATAAACAAATATTTTTCTATAAACAAGTATTTTAAAACTACTCTTTTCAAATATGAAAAATATTACTTTTAAATCCTAATATTGCTTCCAAATATTTTTCTACAAGCTAAACAATTACTAGCGATAATGGTTTGTAGTCGATATAATAATAATAATAATAATAATGTAGATAATAAGAATAATTAATATTAATATTAATAAACATATTTAAAGTTATAATACGGAGTATTAATTAATATTTAGGTGTGTGTAGCCTAAAAATAATGTGATTTCATTCAATAGTAATGAATATTTAATCCTTAAAAAATATTTATTTTCTATATTATTTTTATTATTTTTTTTCTGATCTGATCTGATTAAACCTGATTAGGTTTTAATAAAAAAAATAAGCAAAAAAAATAAGTCCTACGGAACTGATCCTAACACTACTTTGGATGGTGAGAAAAATGGAAAAAAAGAAAAGTCTAGACGAGAAACAACTTTTTTCGAAATTTTCTCTTTGGTTGGGAAATAAAATAAAGAGAAAACAAAATTTAACCATTACCCCAACATAAGGACTTTTCTCACCTTCTTTTGTGAGAAACTTTTTTCTATTTTTCTTTCACACCATTTTTTAAACGAGTTGTGTTTCTTTGGTCATAAGGTCTAAATATGAAATATGGATCTCTTCACATTTTTGATGGACTTACATATAGATTTTTTTTGCAAAAAGCCCAGTTCCTTCATGTTGTTTATGTACCAACTAACGTCTATAAAATCTCTGTGAACCTAAAGACGACATGAGAATTTATCTTTATAGACATTTTCTATAAATCTAAGCACCAACCTTTTTCTCTTCATTTTTTCTCCATTTTCTTTTCCATCTTTTCATTTCCTCTTATTTTATTTCTCTCCTTTTCTCCTCATCCAAACAAAGATAAAATTCTAAAAATAAGTTGATTTTTTCATATTTAGTCCTTAATTATTCTAAGATATGACATAAATATTCTCAATGTTTAAAAAGTGTTCTATTTTCGATCATTCACGAATTATATCTGTATAAAAATAGTCATGTTTGACTTATAAGACTATTTATGGAATATCTTAGAATTTAATATGCATGTATCACCTCCGTCACTAACTATTTGTTCAATTTTAATTTTTTTTCAATCAACCAAAACCGACCTTTTGGCCTATAATAAAATAGAAAGTATATGACATTTTAACTTGACTAAACAATATTTTAAAAATACTTTATACCGGAGTAAGATAAATCTAATAAAAATATTTAATACTATATTTCTTCATACCGTGGCTTACTCAGTTTCTTTATACCGTCGTCCTCTTCCAATCGTAGTCAATCTTTATTTTAATGAGAATGTAATAAAAATGCACTTATAATAAGAAGTTAGAAAATTTTGAGAAGAGTTAAAAACTAGAAAGAGTTTAAAAAAAATTAACTTTTTTAACCAAAAGAAAAAAATCTTATTGTCACAAAATAAGCTTTTCAAAATTTGAAAACTCGTAAAATTTGACAAGCGGCATTTAAGTGTTTAGTTGGTGATGAGGTTAGAACTCCCTATAATTTTTCTAAAGTTCATAAAAGTCAATGAGAAATTGACTTTACACTAAGGAGATTCATACAAGTCATTAATGCAAGGAGAATGCCTAGGGATTACTCCTCCTATAATAATAATAATAATAATAATAATAATAATAATAATAATAATAATAATAATAATAATAATAATAATAATAGAGTGCTTCTATGGTACACCTTGGGTGCATACTATTTTTATGGACCTTCTCACATAAAAAAAACTTTTGTTAATTTTTTTTATAAAAAATAGATATTTATTTAAGTAGTGAGAAATTGTTTATTTTACTCGTATGTAGGTCTAAGGTGGACCTAAGGTCCACCATAGAATTTTTCATAACAATAATAACTTCGTATTATTATTATTATCACCATACGGCCCGTCATCAACTTTCAATTACTCCGTGTATATGAATGTGGTTGATGGATACTCTAGACATTGAAGTATTTGGCCCGACACAAGACCTAAGTTGTAAGACGAGACCGTGAACATAGTCCGTATCGGCCTCTAACAATACATCTCCACCTTGGCCTAGGGAGAGAAGGCGAGTCAGAACATGGGACGGTCACGGTCAAAGCATCATATATGACACAAGCTCGGCATTGATATAAGTCCTCTATTTGGCTGCAGACCATAAGACTAGCTTAGAATAATGAAGGAATCATACACCTAAGGTTGTATAAAGAGTGTTGTTCAATCCATTAGGTCCACATCTAGTGAGGCAGTTCTTGTATCTATGTAATATATGCTCATATACGCTCCATAATACATGTACTTCTGTACACAAGGCCCACAAGCCATGCGAGTCTTATCTAGAACAATTCCGCTACATTCAAATATTAACTTGTTTCGAAATAGCATTTTCGATTAGTGTTAACGTTTTGGATAAAACTTTAATGGTATAGATCAATTCTAAAAATGCTAACATTAAAGGCTACCGTTAAATAGTCTTTTGAAAATGCTAACGCTAACCTCTAATGCTGGTGTCAAACGAGCCCAACGTTATTCTCAAATATGGAGTAACCTTTAGATATGTTTTTTGTTATTTGAGAGGTGGTGGACAATATTTACTCAGTTTGCCCTCTATGATGTGATTTCGAAGATGGTTGACCATATCTTGAAAGTTTGTCTTATCTTAATTTTGTTGTTGAAATCTCTCTTAGCTTATTTTAAGGTCATGTGTAGTACGGAGTATGTGGTCAGCTTCCACCATAGCGCATTTCAAGCGATGGGGTGTGGCCCTTCTTGAGTGATGGCCATACAGTCGTGATGGGGTTTTCATATTTAACTTTTTTACTTTATTCAACTAATCAAAATAATAAATTACATTTTCATCCTATCACTTTTTAGTCATGCTCCCTTTGAAGCTTAATAATACAAATTTGTCTACTCACGCTAGCTCGCTTACGGGGAACCTACGTGGCACCCAATCAAGCTCCTATCAAACCCACTATTACATGTAGCTAATATCCTATTTGCTTTTGATTTTATCGCTTTTGTATGTCATTTTTAACACGGTATCCCGCACATGATTAAAGGATTGAGACGAGCCCATTGAAATGTTGTTTTTGCATTTTTGATATCTTAGGGCCAGTTTGTTAGTAAAAAGGCATGAGTTTCAATATTCGAGATATAGAGTTTCCAATATACATGTTTGATGAAAGTAAAAGAAAATTTAGAATTAAAATTTGGAGACATGAAAACTTCATAAAAAAGTCGTTTCTTGATATCAGTACGATTGAATGGACAAATTGACATCGCCGATATCACATTTCCTCCTTAATCACCTGTTCAAAACGCAGTGAGAGTGCGAGACCATCTTGAACGAGTAATAACATTTTCTACTCCAAATTTGTTTGTTTGAAATATTTCTTCATTTTTTACAGCAGAAAAATGACTCGTGAAATTAAAAAAACAGTTTTTAAAAAAAAAATTAGTTGATTAAAAGTAATACACATAAATAAAAATGGATGGACTATGCTATGCTTTGGTGGTTGGTACGGATGCTCAAGTCAGCCGAAGCAAGTAAAACGTCAAGAGCTCTCTACTGTCCCCACCCCACTCAAAAGATTATCCCAATCCCCCAAAAGTTTCTCTTTTAAGTGCAAAGGAAACCAACTCAAAACGCTCCCATCCGCTCAGCTCCCCCCTCCGCCGTCTCTACGGCTTCCAAATTTGAATTTTCGTTTTTTTTCTTCTTCTTCTCCGATCGATCATCTCCCTCTTTCTTAACATTCCCAGTGGTTTGGAGATTTCAAGCGGTGTATAATCGTCTTGTTCATTCATTTTCACATTTCTCGTAGTTTCTGGTGCCTAAATCCTATAAGCAAGTAGCTCACTCCGCGCCTCCGGCCGGCCGGAATCGGGCTCTCCCATAGCCCTCATCCAGAGTAAGTTTTGTTCGTCTCTTTCTCTCTGCATTCCGATTTGCCTAACGATTATTTGGTGAGCTGTGTGGATGTATTGCGAAATCCTCGACTTGGATTCATTTCCCGTATCTGGCTATGATTATTACAAAATATTAGAGATATTTGATTTCTGTGTGATGTTTGGATAAGATGAATCCGGCTAGTTGTTTTGAAATTTGAATTTCTGTTTCTGGCTATTTTTCCTCTTTTTTTTCAATCATCTTAAGGCTCCTCGCCCTTCGTCACTACTCACTATTAATAGTCTTCAAAGTTAATGTAGTAGCTTCCTTTGTTATTTTGTTTTGATTTTGATATATTTTATTTTCAGTGGTGCGTCTGAGACGGCACCGTCCCCTTAAATTTTGGGTCCCCTAGCCTTCTAGGGCACTTCGTTGCCGAAGGTATTCTATTAATGAATCATCATACAGAGAGAATATTTAGTGAGTGTTTAACATTCAATTTAATATGGCTATGCAATGTAGTTCTAAAAAATGTGCATGTCTTTTCTTTCGATATAAATCATTAAATATTGTTTGAATTTGTGACTATGTTCTTCATCTAAAAAAATGTCTTAATTCCAAATATTAAAATGTTATTGTAGTTGAAGTTAGCATCATAAAAAAAAATTCGCACAGGGCCCTCAAAAGTTTTGGACCTTCCCTGTTTATTTTATGTTTGAAGAAGAAAAACAAAGATATTTGAAGGGTAATAATATGACGGCAAGTAGTGCAGTCTTTTGGATTTTATTATGGATTGATGCTTTTAAGTTGAGCTTCTCAGTTCTCACATTAATGACTCTTGAATAAGGAGCCAATTATAACATTGATTGATTTTCTTTGAAGTATCAATATTCCATACTCCAACTACACAACATTATTGCTACTACTATTATTACTCCCTATTAAGTTAGTGTTGCTTAAGTCAATGTTCTCACAAACTGAGGTGTCTAGTCTTGTGACTTTTTCAATTTATCTGTTCAATGTTCATTGTAATTTCTTTACCATTATTACTTGAGACCTGGCATGTGAAGATTGTTATACCAGAAAATGGGCACCGTGGTGCACAAAGCGTACCTGCAGGGCAAGGAGGGTACGGGGAATAATCTTACTATTGTATTTAATTATTTGATCTGGGATGTGGGAAGTACTAATTATGCTTAAATTGTATAAATATTGATTGAAAGGGATAGGCCATTCAATCTTCTTTACATGGTTCACTGACTTCATTGTTTGCAAACAGGTTCTAAAAAAGATTTGATGAAAAGGATACTGTTGTATATGCTCTGATCATTATTTAATAAGTGCATGTTTTTTATAGACATATTTCCTCATTTCTGAATGCATTTGCATTGTCTTACTGTTTCTAGTCATTCTTTTCTCTCACCTTGCAATTTAAATGGATGAAACTAGGCTTCAGGCTATGCATGAGTGAAATTGTCTTCAATTATCATACTTTTGCTGCCAATTACCCATTTGTGCGCCATGGGACTAATCGTCTCGTTAATTACGGTGCTGTGCAGGTAGGTTTAAGTTGTCCATGCCATAAAGATGAAAAAACTGTTCTTTTTCAAATCTTCTGCACCTAGTGGAGTGAACAGCACCCAAATATCCCCACAGGCAAAGGAAAAACAAGTTGACCGGGAAAACCCTTGTACACTTGACAAAACCAAGACTAAAAAGAAAGTCTCAGAAAATCATTCCTTGGGTGATAGACCAAGTCTCGGGAGGAGTCTGTCATTTTCTTCTGGATCCCTTTATGATGCTTGGGGGGAACAAATGGATTCCCAGGACCGAAGCAGGTCTCCTTGTGGTGGTAATAATGCACACCCTAAGAAATCAAATCGTAACTCATCTCGGTATGCAACATCTTTTGTGATAATTGGATGACAAAATACTACTACTGCATTATAATTAGGTTTTATTACTAGGTGTCAAGGTTTAATCAGTTTTCTTGTTTGTGTCAGCAGTCGTGCATTAACACCCGAGAGGTTATACCGTGGAAAGTCCTTTGGGATTGATGGTGTTGAAGATTATTACAAAGTGGGGAATGGACTGCATGGTTATGGTTCCTCTTTTCAACAACACCTTGATTCACATGACAGCTCCTCTAACTGCTCTAGCAATGTTTCCAGCAAAGTTTTAGACCGTTATATTGATGGCGAGCAAGAGGGAGTGCAACAGCGTGCAAGATTTCAGAACATAGTGCCAGCTTCACAACCCAATGTTAGGAAACAGAAACCAAAGTCTCAATCTTTGGGAGAAACTAGAGGGTCTCAGCTTCAAGATCTGATTGAGAATGGTTTTAAGAATGAATCACCCAGGAAACTTGCAAAGAGAGTGGTTGAGAGACTTTCTCAATCTCGATTTTTGCCACCTAAAAGTAAAAATGAATATGATGTTCATAATCCAATTACAATTGAAGATATCTACAATGGGAACACAAGTGGACTTCCTATTTCATATCTTGATGGTACTTCACAAAAAAGTTTCTTGATTGATGGGGTAAATGAAGCAACCAGTGAGCGCAGTGAAAATATTCCAAGCTTCCAAGAAAGGAAAATTTTCTCTGGTGAGGAAGATTCTGACATTGAATTAATTAGAAAGTATAAGGATGCTGAGAAACAGGTAGCTGTACTTTCTGAAGACATTGAAGAACAGACCTTTCTTCATAGTAGAGGGCTCAGTATACCTACATTGATCCAGAAAATTAGAAGCTTGACAGAGGAGAAACTCCAAATGGCCCGTGATACTGCATCTGCGTTGCAATGCCAAATTGCTGGGAGGGCTTCTGCTAGGGAAGAACTGAAACTACTAAGAGCTGAATTAGATTCACAGAAGCAAAGGTTGGAAGCTGAGAAGAACGAACTGCAGTTTTCTATGGAAAAGGAGCTGGATAGAAGATCAAGCGAGTGGTCACTCAAACTGGAGAGGTTCCATGTAGAAGAACACATGCTTCGTGACAGGGTTAGAGAGCTTGCTGAGCAAAATGTTTTCCTTCAAAGGGAAGTATCTTCATTCAGTGAGAAGGAGGTGGATACCAAAAGTAGGATTTCATATTTAGAGAACCAGCTTGAAGAACTTAAAAGGATATCAGAGGAACAAAGGGAGGAGAATCAAAACCTGCAGAAAAATCTTTCTAAACTTCAAGAGAAGCACAAAGCAGCACAGGAAGATCTAGATTGCATCAGAAGGAACTGCGAAGAGAAGGTGAAAGAGTGTAAGGACTTGCACAGGTCCATAACAAGGTTACAGAGGACTTGTAGCGAACAAGAGAAGACAATTGATGGTTTGCGATTGTACTATGAGGAGATTAACAAGAAACGATCAGCAGAGGAGTTTGACAATCAATTGATTAAGTCACGTGTGGAGCATATTAGGCTGGTGGGAAACGAATGTGCTTTAAGGAAGGAAGCGGAATCCTACAAGCTTGAGGTTGATCAGCTTCGTCACGAGAATATAAACTTGTTGAATCGCTTGAAAGGGGTTGGCCAGGATGCCACATTTAGGCTAGATCAGGAATTATTGAATCGTGTTAACTGCTTGCAAACACAAGGGATATTGATGCTTAAAGAAAGCACTATTCTTTCTGAAAAGTTGCTAGAGTACACCAAATCTACTGTGGATGGAGGATCACAAGGCCAGTTTGTTATTGAGACTGATATAAAGCTCCAAGGCTTCAAGAGGGGGCTAGAAAATTTAGCAAGGAGCTTACAGAATGTCTCCTTTGTGCTGAATGAGAAGTCTAAGTCTGAGACATCTATCTTGGAGAATAGGACACGTCAGTTAGATGACCACCAGAAATTTGAAGTAAGTTCACAATGATGCTTTTATTTTGACAATACTGTGTTTGTTTTAAGTACTTGTGGTAACCTTTGCTTCGTAATGCAGTTCGAGCTGAAATCAGAGATATTACTGACAAGTTTGTTGCGTGAGAAGCTTTATAACCAAGAGTTGGATATGGAGCAACTTCATGCTGAGCTGGCAACCTCTATCAGAGGTAAAGACATGATCAATTGTGAGTTGCAAAATGCGCGGGACAACCTTTCCTGTGCAATTCACAAGGCAAAGAATCTTGAACTTCAGGTGAGCCATCACTAGTACTCTAATACGTAGTAGTATGGAGTGTGTTTTCCCTTTTTTCTTCAATGAAATTTCACGACAACCTAATTTAATTGTTTAAATATGTGTAATGAGCCAGCATTGAAACCAATTGTTGTTTCAAAAGCTCTCCTGAAACTTTCAGAGTTTCAGGCAACTGTTTCTTGCTCTAAAATGATGTTTCTCCCTTAGATTTTCGTGATTAATGTGTATTGCGGAGTACGGAGTATCATTTTTTATAATACTATATACTCCATGCAACCAAAAAGATAGTCAACTGTTCTATTTTTTGTTCATCTCACAAAGATGGTTCATTTCCATGCATGCATCTACTTAATGGGGTACTACTTACATCAACAAGCAAAGTATGAAATTAATGAGCCATTAGGATTTTCATTTAAAATACAAGTACTAGTTAATGTTTTAACTGCTTCCATTTCATAAACTGTTTCATTTTGGTTCAATATTTTCACAAAAAAAGTTATTTTGGTTATAAATTAGAAAGTGTTTCATATTACATTCCAGTTTATGAAATCAAGAGACCACTAAATGTCAAATATCCACATCTTCCATTCTTACCAACAGCTGTTTGGGCATAACACTATTTTTTTCTTCCAAAACTATAAGATCATATAAGAGTTGCTTATCCGTGTGTTTTATCCTTACCCACAGATAATCAAGAAAGATGAGAACATACACAAGCTTGAGAATGATCTTGACGAATGTATAAAGGAACTGGCGGTAGTGAAGGGGATACTGCCAAAAGTGACCCAAGAAAGGGACATGCTGTGGGCAGAAGTTAAGAAGTACAGCGAAAACAATATGCTGCTCGATTCAGAGAACAACATGTTAAAGAAAAAGATAGAGACACTAGATGAAGAGGTGCTCCTTAAAGAAGGACAGATTACAATTCTTAAAGACGCGTTTGGTAAACCACTTGATCTTCTTGAATGATGCCTACAACATATACAGGAATTGTCGCGTTCCTCGTGTTCATATTTAGGTATACATTGCTTTTCTATAGAATGATATATGGTTTCATTTGAATATGGTTGTTGAGGTTGTTATTATAGGCTTGAATACCAAAAAAGAGAAATCTGATTTGTTTTTTGCCACTCTCAAGATAGCATTAATGCTGAAGTGAAAGAGTTGTGAAATTCCACCCCCACCTAACCCTCCACCCCCACCCCCAAAGGAAAAAGAATTATGATGATTGTATGCAGTTTTTTTTTTCAGCCTGAGGAAATAATGGAAATGTTGCTTTATACTATGTGTTTTTTTTCTAGATGCTAAATTTGCTATACATAAAGTTCACCATAATTATACGGAGTATGCTAAGACTAATACGATTCACAACTATAATTTTTTCTCTATTTATATTCGAGATAAGTGCACCGTTTACCCTTGAATTCTTCAGAAATTGTACGGTTTACCTATGATCATTAAAAGCGCACCAAATACCCTTAAATTTTTCAAAAAATTGTGCGGTTTATCTCTGAACATTAAAAAGTGCACCAAATACTCCCGAACTCTTCGGAAATTGCAAGATGAATCATACTCGCAGTTCCTATGTGTGCAAACAACGCACTCCCTATCTAGCATTTTAAGACCAACGACATCTTAAATTGTTCAAAGGTATTTGGTGTACTTTCTAATGTTCAGGGGTAAATCGTGCAACTTTCAAACAGTTCAAAGGTAAATGGTGCACTTTTTAATGTTCAGGGTAAACCATGCAATTTTCAAAGAGTTCAGAATAAACGGTGCACTTTTCTCATTTATATTCCCTCCATTTCACATGGAAAATCACTTAATTGGATAGAAAAAAATGTTGAAAAATTAAAAAGAGTGATTAAATTTTATTTTGAAGAGAGAAATTTTTATAAGTTACATGCCTTTTTAAAAAAGAAAAGTGAAGAACTCAATTAGGAACAAGCGAAAAAAAGTGGACAACTATTTGCAATTGCAGTAGAACAAAGTCAACGAACTAACAACCTTTTTCTTTTTTTTTGCATTTTATTACGTGTTTCTTTCTTTTTTTCTTTTTGAGTGCATTTCTTGTTTCTTACATTCAGTAATTTGTAGGGAAATTTGATGCTTAGCCACACGGAATAATAATAACTTGTGTCGGTAAGAAACAATATGAGAAATGGCAAATTTTTGGTCCACTAAATCGTCCTATTTCCCAAAATTGGTATGTGTGTATATATATATATATATATATATATATATATATATATATATATATATATATATATATATATATATCATTTTCGGTAATTTGTAGTGCTTTATTTTGAAAATTTTCTATTTTTATAAAGATTATAGTGCCGTCACTCATAGCATTTTAATCATTTTCTCATTTAATACAAACTAATTAACGAGTCATAATTAGGAGGGGAGGTATTGGGTGACAAAATACGAAAGAGGTTTCCATGACATTGTCATTAGCACTCAATCTCATAGGATGATCCAAGAGGCTACATTGCCCCTAAGTTAATTTTGACTTTGGAGTCAATTTGGGAGTGCAATTAAAAGGGATGGAGTGTGTTCAGGTCGGGGCGGGGTGGGGGGTTTACCGAGGAGGTTTGATGGTAGGAACCGTCAATTTTACAAACAAGGGTTCGTAGTGCTCCGGATCATCCCATGACAATACGGGGCAATGTCACATGAACCGCCCCGGACAAAATAATAGGGTTGGGAAAATGGGAGCAAAGTATGTTGGTTCTTTTCACCCTGATTTTAAAATCTAAAGTTTCGAGCTTAACTGAAACCTGGATTAAAATATATAAAACTTAAAATAGATGTTAATAGTACATTTTATTTAACTATATTTTACATTCCTACCTATAAAGAAAATTTAGAAAAGAATTTTCACATTGCATCAAATAACATTCGCAATCAAATGGAGTACAAAAGTTTCAAATATAATTCTACCCCCCACTTTCACCTCTATAAATAATTGTTGTGCCCAATCAATTGTGAAACACTATTTGGATGGTGAAAACAAACTCAGTATATATTCCATTCAGAAGTAGCGTCTCGGAAGAAGCTAGCTTGCTTGCTTGTTAAGGTCATCACAATTAAGCTTCTTTCAGTTATGGGAAGTATGAGAACCAATCAAGAGAGAGAGAGAGTGCCTTACTTTTAAACAAGAAAAAGAAGCTTATTTCCAGAACTCAGCAGCAGGCTTTCGGTGCTACAAAACAAAGACACTTCAAGTGAGAATGACAGGAAATTTTTTAAATACCTTAATAACCAATTAAAAAGAATACTACATATATATAACACATAATTTTCGCTTTAAAACATTGAAAATGTAATAAAATACGAAACAACACCATAGAGTAGTACGAAATACTTCATTAATAAAAGGGAGGGAATTTAACATGCTAAAAACTAAATTGAAGATGCAAATACTAAGTGTTAGAATATAAGTAACATTTCTTGGGCCACAACCACAAGTTTGAGCTTTTGGTTGAGTTGGTTCCTTGACATGGTATCGGAGCCTTGTTGATTAAAAGGTCACAGGTTCGAAACTCAGCACCACCCAGTTTAAAAAAATGAAGGTTTCACAAGCAATGCTCGAAGAAAAAGACTATGCTTGCACGTGAGGGGCGTGTTAGAATATAAGTAACATTTCTTGGGCCACAACCACAAGCTTGAGCTTTTGGTTGAGTTGGTTCCTTGACACTAAGAAAAATTAAAAGTGCTTGAAAATTAAAAAATTAGAAAACAACTACTACTACATTGCTCGAGTGATTCTGGCCTAGGTCGTGTCGATCATGTTGTGATGCATCTTTAGCTCCCTCTCTGACATAACAACGTATCCTTGTTCATAAATTCGATGAGGTGGGTGATATGAATAGGGATGCTCATTTTGTACATAGAAGTAAACATTCTGTCCAACAACGGGTTTGGTGGGGGTGGGGGTGGGGGTGGGTGGGGATGGCATACTCCGAGCCTTCACCTTCTTTGTCGTCTTTGGCCCAATCAGACAGTTCTGAGTGTTGGGTTCGTCCCTGAGAATGTTGAAGTCATCCCCCAACGCGTTGAGGTCGATGAACTGTCCACCCCCACTTGTCGAGTACTTCCCTGTCTCAGAGAGTTTGGTTCGTTTCGACGCCGATCCTCCGGTCTCAGCCCCGGCGTTGAATTTGGGGCTACTCTGTAGAAGATTCCAGACATCCAAGAACTTGAAAACTTTCTGTTCTGCTTCGAAAAAGAGGTCCTTCGCCTTCGAAAGAATGTCGGTGGCGTTGATCTCACCGGGCCACGTTTTCTGGATGTTGGCATACATGCCACCAAACAGTTGGACATCCCTATTTGCACACGACCCTAGTGTTTCCGAAGCATCTCCGTGTTACGTTATGGTGTAGCTTTGGGCCTCCCGGCATTGTACTTCTCCACAACATGCTCCTAAAACAATTGGTGTTTCTAGTAGTTCCCGATGATGGCATCCTCTGACACATCGATGTAGGACTTTGCTAATGCCAAACTTTCTGCCGGGGTACACTTCGTTGGCCCGTCATTCTTTTTTACCTTCGCTTTGCTCTGGCCCTTGGTGATGGGCTCCAATTTAGAAATGTCGTAGTCGTCCATATTTACGGCCGACAGTTGGTAGGGACTGTCGTTGGACCCCGAGAGCGGGAAAACTCATCGCCTATATGAGCTGCCCCCTGCATATTAGTGTTAAAACTAGCAAAGTGGGCATATCTGAGCACTGCATCAATGACATTTTGCTCGAACGGGGAGTTATTGGCGTGATTCATTTTGTGAGTGAGATGAGAGTGAATGTTGGATATATTGCATTTGGAGATGTGGTGAACTTATAGAGTTGAAAAGAAACTTTGAAATTGAAACAAAGTACAAAAAGCACCCCAACGGCGAGGCGCTGCAATGGCGCTCGTTGCTCGCTCTCGCCCGTGCCGCACGCCTGCCATCCTGCCCGCGCTGCAGTACTGGACCGTCCTGCCCGCGCTGCGGTTCTGCAGTGGAAGACTTCCGTGCCCCTTGCCCCTGCCTGCGACGCGGTGGAACTCCCCTCCCCCAATCCCTTATTGTAAATAGCATAAGGTCCTAGGAGTACATTTTACATATTACAACAACAAACCCAGTAAAATCCCATAAGATAGCAAGGTCTAGGGAGGGTGTGTATGCACAGACTTTACATGGAAGGGTAACATATTGAATTGAGAAAATGATGAGAAGTATAAGGGAGAAATTCTGGGAAGATGGAAAAGAGAGTTTCAATGTAAAATTTGAACTTTCTTGTGTTTGTGCATCTAATGTGATTGACAGAGTAGAATAAGCAAGCATAAACTTACAAGTGACAAAGGCATCCTTGCTCGAACTGAATCCATCAGAGAAAAGTCTATATCAGCAACAGTAATACCTGTTGATGAACGGTCTGAAAAAAACGACAGAACCTTACATGTTTCCACATCAACAATTGATTATATACTCTCTCCATCCAAAATAAATTTCATGTTTTGACTTCTCGGAGTTCAAAAAAAGTGTTCAATGGTTAAATGGGTGTGATTTTGGGGCGAAAGTTAAAAAGAAGAAATGTGAAGTTTAATTTGGGACGAAAGTTAAAAAGGTGAGATGTTTATTTTGGGACATATCGAGTATGTATTGGTCATTTCTTTCAGCAATAATCATTCTGCAAAACCATTTCTGGCATACAACAAGAGAATTTGCATAAGGCCCCGTTTGGTACACGGAATTCAAACTATGGAATTGGAATTGAGGACTTCAATTCCAATTCTCGTGTTTGGTAGCACAAAAATTATGTGAATTTGGAATTGGTAGTACAAAAAATGAATTGGAATTGGTGAATTCAATTCTATGGATTTGAATCCCATGGAATTTTAATTCCAATTCAATTCCGTGTACCAAACGGACCCTAAGGGTGTATAAAACATATCGAACAATGGGAATCTGTGAGAGAGCAACCGCAATGGGTCTCTGTGGGTAGGGAAGGAGAGTTTGGAGGGTTTTTTTATGGGAAGGATTTGGAGAGCTTAATCTAAACCTTGATGAATAGAATGTGTCTAAAACCAAATAAAAGGGGGGCTGAAATGTTATTTTATCTCTTCAGCAGTTCAACCAGACCTCCAAAACCTTCCACTTTGAAATCCCCAAACCCATCCATCCAAGCAGAACCTAAAAGTACAACTAAATTAATATTTTGGGTGAAGAAGCAAATGCATTAACAAGAATAGTTCTGACCTGGCAATCTCCCAATTATTGTTCCCCATGGATCAATTATTAATGTATCGCCATAACTTTCTCTTTTTTCATTATGCTTTCCAGCTTGAGCAGCAGCTATGACCTGATAAACAAGTGAAACCACCTATCATTACTACCCACAAAATAACAAGATACATGATGGAATAAAAAAAATCATGGGTAAGAGTCCTTCACACACACACACTACTAAAATAGAAACTTTATAACATTTCATACATAGCATTGCGTCTCGATTGCCCGAGCACGAAGAAGAATCTCCCAGTGTGCCTGACCAGTCGTAGTTGTGAAAGCAGCAGGCGCAAGTAAAACCTGCAGACAGTATAATTTTGTTTAAGAATCAAGACTTGTTTGCAATAACAAACAAACAAAAAACTCCCACCATCCCGTAAAAAGAGTCCTATTTCACAAATATAAACTTTTTAGGGAGTATTTTACTAAGGTACAGATGGCAAAAATCATCAAATATCACCATATTTTTATTAACTTATTTGTTAGTTTGACTAAGATTGACATATTTAACTTGTTTGATATGCTTTTTTTATTTAAAAAAACATTGTATGACAAAAACTGACATCTTTTCTACAAAATGAACTCATTTTTGGGGGAAAAGTATGTTGAGAAACGGAACTCTTTTTATAGGACGGAAGGGGTAAATAAATAAATAAATACATAAATTAACCAATCAATTAATTAATTATAAGCATGAACCTGGGCATCATGGAGAAACCGCAAGTGTTGATAGAGCTCTGGAAATCTCAAATCATAGCATACTGTAAGACCTATTCTCCCAAAGGGGCTGTCTGCCACAGCAATGTTCTTTCCTAAAAGAACATACCCCCAAGAAATTTGGGAAAATGTGTCAAAATTGACCAACAAATCAGAACTAACGTTCATGAAGAAAGGAGAAAACCAAATGTCCTAACTCTAAATTGAGACCCTAAAAATATTTTGACTTGATGCAGCATTCAAAATCAAATATTAGTCTCTAGTTATTCATTTCCTTGTTTGTAGGAAGTAGGTTGCACAGAAAGCTAGAGAGGTTTAATTGCAAAGAGAATATTTGTTATGCAGAATTCGAGAATAACAGATATGAACGAGGAAAAAAAAACACGACAACAGATTTAAAGTGGTTCACCAACGTTGTGTTGGCTAGTCCACGAGGAAGAGGGGGAGCAATTTTATTTCAGATGGAGAGGCAAAAACAGAATACAGAATACCACACATAGGGTTTGTGGTAGCACCCATATATATAGTGCTTAGCTAAACCCTAACAGACTTGGGCCCCAAACTACAGAATTAACAGATAATTAGAGAGCCCAATTAGCGTAGGGTTCGGATCTCTCAAGATTTGGATTTCTCGGAATTCGGATTTCTCAACTTCTCTGGAATTCGGATTTCTCAGAAGCCAGACTTCTCCGGATCCGGATTTCTCAAAAGTTGGACTTCTCCGGATCTGGAGCTGTAACGGATCAGATTCAAGGCATTACAACAAATCTCCACCTTGACTTGAATTCTCCATACAGATTCTTCAGATGCAATATGGTTGTGCCAGATCTCCCCCTCTTCCTCAGAATTGCCACATAGGGCAACTAACAGCTTCTGATGTTAAGCAAGTCCAAACAGTGTTGAAACTTGCTTCGCAGAACCGGCTTTGTGAACATATCAGCAGGATTATCAGCAGTTCCTACTTTCTTCACCTGGATTCTTCTCTCACTCCTCAGGAAATGATACCTCACGTCAATATGCTTGGTTCTCTCATGATGGACTTGATCCTTGGCTAGACAAATCGCGCTCAAACTGTCACAATACACTGTAGCCTTATCATGATGCACACCGAGATCAGTAACCAATCCTTTCAACCAAATTCCCTCCTTTGCAGCTTCTGTCAAGGCCATGTACTCTGCTTCCGTAGTTGACAAAGTCACCGTAGGTTGCAAAGTTGCCTTCCAGCTAACAACAAAACCTCCGAGAGTAAACACATAGCCAGTCATTGATCTCCTCGTGTCAACATCTCCAACATAGTCAGAATCAGAAAATCCTGTGACCAAACACTGAGTATCACCTCCATAAATGAGACCAACGTCAGATGTACCCTTAAGGTACCGGAAAATCCTTTTCACAGCCTGCCAGTGTTCTCTTCCTGGTTGTCCCATAAATCTGCTAACTACACTCACTGCATGTGCTAAATCTGGCGTTGTACAGACCATAGCATACATCAAACTTCCCACAGCACTGGCATAAGGGACTCGTGACATATACTCCTTCTCTTCTTCTGACTGTGGAGCGAACATGGCAGTGAGATGGATATAGGCAGCACTGGGGGTGTCAATAGGCTTAGATGAAGACATCCCAAACCTCGTCAAGACCTTCTGAATGTAACCTCTTTGTGACAAGAAAAGTTTCCTTTTCTCTCTGTCTCTGATGATCTCCATCCCTAAAATCTTCCGAGCGGCTCCCAGATCCTTCATCTCAAACTCAGCACTAAGTAAACCCTTCAGCTTCTGGACGACATGCTTCTGCTTTGCAGCTATCAACATATCATCTACATAAAGCACCAGGTAGATGAATGAATCATCTTTGAGCCTATTGTAGTAGACACAACAGTCATATGAGCTCCGAATGTAGCCCAACTTCACCATATAGCTATCAAATCTTTTGTACCACTCCCTTGGGGACTGCTTAAGTCCGTATAAGGACTTCTTCAGCTTGCAAACGTGACTTTCCTTCCCTGGAACTTGGAAACCATCCGGCTGAGTCATGTATATCTCTTCCTCCAACTCTCCATGTAGAAATGCTGTCTTCACATCAAGTTGTTCGAGCTCCAGATTTTGATGTGCAACTATCGCTAGTAGCACGCGGATGGAAGTGTGTCTGACCACAGGTGAGAAGATCTCATTGTAATCCACTCCCTCTCTTTGGTTGAAGCCTCTGGCAACGACCCTGGCTTTATACTTGACCCCTTCTGCTGGTGATATTCCTTCCTTCCTTTTGAAAACCCATTTGCAAGTAATAACCTTTCTCCCTGGAGGCTGTATGACAAGATCCCATGTTTGATTCTTTTGCAAGGACTCTATCTCATCTCCCATAGCGGCTAGCCTTTTTTCAGAATCAGAACTTAAAACAGCTTCTCTGTAAGTAGATGGTTCAGAAGTATCTACCTCTTCAGCAACCTGCAGTGCATAACCCACCATGTCCTCAAAACCATACCTCATAGGTGGCCGAACTCCAACCCTTCTTGGTCGATCTTGAGCTATACTACGATGGGTATCTGATGGCATAGATTCTGGGAAATCAGTTTCTGTCTGTGGCTCTTGATTCTCCTCTTCAGGTTCTTTCATATCACTCTCGTTCTGAGTGACTTGAAGCTCCACCTGTTTATCAAGGCTCTCAGTTTCTGTCGTAGTTGTAGGCTTCACGACGGTTCTAAACAGAGAACTTTCATCAAAGACAACGTTTCTGCTCAAAATAACCCTCTTTTCTGCTGGAGACCAGATTCTAAAACCTTTTACTCCATCTCCGTAGCCCACAAATACTCCCTTTTTAGCTCGTGGTTCTAGCTTACCTTCACTGACATGATAGTAAGCTGTACAACCAAAAGCTTTCAAATTTGAATAATCAACAGCTTTTCCTGACCACATCTCCACAGGTGTCTTGCACTGAATGCCTGTATGTGGTCCGCGGTTAATCAAGTAACAAGCTGTACTAACCGCTTCTGCCCAGAACCTTCTGTCTAGCCTAGCATTAGAGAGCATGCACCTTGCTCTCTCCAGAAGTGTTTGATTCATCCTCTCAGCTACACCGTTCTGTTGTGGTGTATCTCTGACTGTACGATGTCGAGCAATCCCTTCATCCTTACAGAATTGATCAAATTCAGACCAACAGAATTCCAGCCCGTTATCAGTTCGCAACCTCTTGATCTTCTTCCTTGTTTGATTTTCCATCAATGTTTTCCACTCCTTGAACTTCTGGAGAGCTTCACTTTTGTGCTTCATCGTGTACACCCAAGTCATCCTTGAGTAATCATCAATAATTGACACAAAAAATCTGCATCCTCCCAAAGACTCAACTCGGCATGGACCCCAGCAATCAGAATGGATGTAATCAAGTGTGCCTTTTGTTCTATGAATGGCCTTTGGAAAGTTGTTGCGATGTAGTTTTCCTAAAACACAATGTTCACAAAACTCCAGGCTCTTTACCTTATGACCCGCAAGAAGATTCTCCTTTGACAGAATTTGCATCTCTTTTTCACCTATATGACCAAGTCTCATGTGCCACAACTTGGTCATATCTTCTTGTTTAACTTCTGATGATGCAACATGGACTGAACCTGTAACCATGGAACCTTGTAGAAAATACAGAGTACCACGCATGACACCTTTCAAAATCAGATTTGAACTCTTCCAGACGCGCAAAACTCCATCTTTTCTTGACCAACTCAACCCCTTGCTGATATCAAGTTTTTCGTCATCAATGGAACGTGCCTGACCTCGTTCAATGTGCAGAAGCTACCATCCTGTGTCCTTATCTTGATCGAGCCTGTCCCAACCACTTTGTAGACAGAACTGTTGGCCATCGAGATGCTCCCTCCGTCTACCTGCTCATAGATCGTGAACCACTCTCTCCTTGGACAGATATGATAGGATGCCCCAGAATCTAGAATCCACACATCTGAGTGATGAGTGTTTTCATCATCAACTAAGGCAATGTCTTCTTCAGAATTGGTGTCTTCTTCAGCAACAGCAGCAGAAACTGATTGTTTTTCAGATTGCTTCTTCTTCTTCGGACAATCAAACTTCCAGTGCCCCTTTTCCTTGCAGTAATTACAGACATCATCCGGCTTTGCACCCTTTGACGATGACTTTTTCTCCTTCTTCTTTCCGCCGTATTTCTTTCCCTTTCCAGTACTGGTGAATAGGCCGGAAGGTTGTACATCTGTACTCATGCTATTAGCCTTATGCCGCAATTCCCTGCTATGAAGGGCCGATCTAACTTCTTCCAGAGACACGGTATCTTTCCCAACAATAAACGATTGAACAAAATTCTCAAACGATATTGGGAGAGATACCAACAGAATCAGGGCAGCATCTTCATCCTCGATCTTCACATCGATATTACGCAATTCTAATAACAAAGTATTTAATTGCTCTAAATGTTCCCTGAGTGGTGTACCTTCGGCCATTCGTAAACCGAATAGACGTTGTTTCAGAAGTAGCTTGTTGGTCAAAGATTTCGTCATATACAGACTCTCCAACTTCAACCACAAGCCAGCAGCAGTCTCCTCGTCTGAGACTTCCGTGATAACGTCATCTGACAGACACAGCATGATCGTCGAGTGCGCCTTCTCTTCCAGATTCGCCATCTCAGGAGTAGCGACGGTGTTTTTGTCTTTCGACAACGGCGCCCAGAAGCCTTGTTATTTCAACAAAGCCCGCATCTTGATCTGCCATAAACTGAAATTGTTCCTCCCTGTGAATTTGTCGATTTTCACGTTCAAGGCAGACATCTCGAAATTTTCCAAGAACACAGATTAACTAACCAGGCTCCGATACCAGTTTGTTATGCAAAATTCGAGAATAATAGATATGAACGAGGAAAAAAAACACGACAACAGATTTAACGTGGTTCACCAACGTTGTGTTGGCTAGTCCACGGGGAAGAGGGGGAGCAATTTTATTTCAGATGGAGAGGCAAAAACAGAATACAGAATACCACACATAGGGTTTGTGGTAGCACCTATATATATAGTGCTTAGCTAAACCCTAACAGACTTGGGCCCCAAACTACAGAATTAACAGATAATTAGAGAGCCCAATTAGGGTAGGGTTCGGATCTCTCAAGATTTGGATTTCTCGGAATTCGAATTTCTCAACTTCTCTGGAATTCAGATTTCTCAGAAGCCAGACTTCTCCGGATCCGGATTTCTCAGAAGTTGGACTTCTCCGGATCTGGAGCTGTAACGGATCATATTCAAGGCATTACAACAATATTCAATATAGCATCCAGGGAAAACCAAGTTTTCACCTGGTTCTGTGAAGCTACTCTCTTTGTAAACCGCACCTCCAGGAACATCCACATCAAACCTTCATGAAATACAATAAAAACCATTCTTAGGAAGAAAAGAAAAAGGTTATACATAACTATAGCCACACAAAGTCAAAACTCTTACAAATGCATTTTGCTGTAAGTACTTGTAATATTTCCAGCATCATCAATCAGTATGTGAGTGTTACGCAAGTGTGCATCATCATTCCCTTTTTCTTGGAATCCTCCAAGTGACAGCCAAATACGTGACTCTCTTTAATTAATGATAACAATAATATCAATTCAGTTAATTGTAATCACAAACTAACACTCACTTTATCCATAAATGTGAACAAAAAATTTCTGTCAAACACTTCTGAATTAATCAATTCACCGCACAATACAAAATCTGATTCTGATGCTCCACACAACAAATATTCTAATTGTGAAACACCATATTGCTAAGTAAAGCAACCTAATGTGAGTATTACCCATTGGCCACTGATTAAACAATGGTTTGTGTGATTGTCCTATCACGATACAAACAAGATAGGTCCGAATGATAATTGAGATCTGAACCAAATGCAAACAGACCGAACCATTCATCGCATCAAAATGACAAAATGAGATCTACGCTTAAATTAAAATACAGTAGCATGTTGGTAAATATAAAGACATTTCTTTCTGCATCCTGTAAAAATACAAAGTGCATCACATCCCCATATTATATATGTGAGACTGCACACTCTTTGAATGAATGGTGCATTGATGGAAAAATGGAGCAAGGTTAATGTATTTTTGTAAATATGGAGAGGTTATGGTGTGCATCATGCCTGATCATGAATGATAAACTATGCATTGTTGACTCGTTGTATATGCAAATTGCCCGGAAACAGGGACGGGTGCTCATACGGGGTTGGGGAAACACCAAAGTTTCCACATTTAACAAAGGATTTGGATGTTGGGAACATGGGACGTCTCCAAGTACCCAAACGGGGGGTATTATTTGAATAATCCGTGGAACACACTACGAGTACATCACTGATATGTAAGAAATTGTGATGGACCCTTACCTTTAATGCTAAGCAATTCCATCACTAATTGAATGCACATTAAACTTCTTATTCACCATAATGATACTGTGCTTTCTCTTTAATTATATGGAGTACATATCTTCTGTCAATTTTGTTTGATGGAGGGTCAAGTTTTGTTTGCAATTTGTTCAGAAGGCACCCTTTTGAGGTCTGAAATAAATATGAGGTCTGCTTGTCTCAAGTTGCCTCACCTTGCAAGGGAACAGTACCCTCTCACAGTAGGCCCATCCAATGGCTCAGCAATTTTAAGACTGTCCCCTTGTTCGACACCCACATAAGAGAAATTTTCAGGAAAACAAAGCAATTTTGCACCAGCTGAAGCAGCTTCCTTTTAAAAAATACAGAAAAGATAATAGCTTTAATTCAATAATCTCATCCGGACCACTGTCCATTCCAAAATGAATCCGGCCGGCGGCTATGGACATGAGTGTGTTAGGATAGATTGTATTTACCTTTACTAAGCGTGAGCAAGTAGCGAAGTTAGCGGCGATGTCATTAATGGAGGTCATCTGAGCGGCGGCGACTCGGACTACGCTGGCCATTGTTACTACGGACTCGCTGCCGGCGGCCCGCAGAGGTGCTGGGGTCGCTGCTAGCTTGATAGAGGGGGGGAATCGGGAAATTGGAGTGTTGAGATGTGTGTGGGAGACTACAGGCCACATGAATATTGCTAAAATGGAAAATGTTATGTGTACCAAAAAATTTATAATTCAACTTAAGGCTTCTTTGAAAATAGTTAGCGTTGGCGTTTTTAAAATGTTATCTACGAGCAGCGTTTAGCGTTAGCGTTTTCAAAGTAATATACTCTGTATACCGTTAAAGATTTATCCAAAACGCTAACGTTAATCTCTAACGTTATTCGCAAACAAGCCCTTATACACATATACAATTATTCTCTCTATAACGTACAAATAATTATTCTCTCTGTGTAATTATAGTGCACTAATATGTACGTTAGGATACAAATTTGAAGTACATATGATACACGCAATGCGAAGAGATTGTGTAGAGCGTTAGTGGACGAAAAAATATTTTGAAGCGACATGAGATAATTTATATTATCAAAAAATCTCCTACCAAACATATATATCAATTAATTATACTAAAAATATATTAACTTTTTTATATTTATTAATTAAGTAAGAAGTTTATTTAAAGTTTTAAACACATGGTTTAATTTTAGTCTTCTGGTGGCAAACTCTTTTGTGGTCCTTAAATTCATATTCACTTATAAACCTTAATATATAAAATGATTATTTGTAGTGGATCCTATAAATAGAAAGAGACCGAATTATGAGTTCATTAAAAATACATTTCAATTGTAGACCTTAGATTATCATAGCACAAGCCCACTCAGATATGTGTAAATGTTTGAAGTAAGAAAGATGACAAGCTGATTTGATAGAGGGTGATGTTTTAGCTAAAATTTTAATGAATATTTAGTTCATAGCTCTTTCATCCCACAATGATTTACATTCTTCAATTTTCAAAAATCACGAAAACTTGTATTGATTTTTGTATTTTGGTTGAATTTTTTGATCAAATAAATTTTTGTCACTTATTATGTTTTAGAATTTTTGAACAAAATAATCTTAGGTAGTGTTTGGAACTATCATTCAATTTCAATTCATGCATTTCAATTTTAAAATTTGAAAACTTGATTAAGCGTTGATTTCAAATCAAACGTTGTTTTGAATGAGAATAATTTTTTAAATTTTTCAGACATTGAATTTGAGCCAAATCTTTGAAATCCAAATCCATGTTCCCAAACATACCATTGAAAAATTTGAAATTTTATTTTGCTTTGCATAAAGTGTAATTTATTTAGAGACAAATGGAGTATATAATGATTTCTGAATGTAAAATTTGCACTAAATAGGACTAAAACATAATGACTTTCCTAATCTAGGACTTAAACTTTTTTATTTCCTAAATATGACTTAATAATGACCTTGTGGGAGGAATAATGTCCAGTAGTGATAGACATTTAGTTGAATAATGACTAATTCATAATGACCAAAAGTCCTACATTGGGAAATAAAAACATATGTCTTATATTGGGAAAGTCATTATGTTTTAGTCTTATTTAAGGAAATTAGTCTTTATGAATAGTTGTAAAAAACTACTCCATATAAAATATCAAATTATGAGTCATAAGTCAGACTAAAATACGAGTTTACATAATCACACTTACCACATTGTCACACGATTACCACCACATCATCACAGTCATTGCCTACCACAAGAGTGTCGTCGTGGATCACTTACGGACATATTATACTCTCATCATTTTTAATCACACTACCAAATACCAATGCATTGTTATACCACACTGCTTTATATTTCTAATTTGTTCTTAAAAAATTTAGAAGTATTATTTTACTATTTTTATATTTTTTTATTTCTATCATGAGAGATTTCTTATTTTATTACTCATTAGGAGAGGAGTAAACTCCCGGTATATGTAACATTTTAATATATCATTCCTGGCAGTGTATGTCAGGTGTTTTTTTCCTGGCAGTGCAACCCGGAGTTGCCTACTCCGTTTCCTCTCGCTTTATTTTTAGAGACGGAGTAGTTTAATCCATTTGGGTCCAATTATTTAATGACACGGAGTAGCTAACTCCGTTTGGGCGGAATAAAACCAAGACGGAGTAGCCAACTCTGTTTGGCCTGACTTAATCAGAGACGGAGTAGCGTACTCCGTGTCTCTTCAATTTAGATCTATCCCCGTGTCTCCTCTTTACACAGATCTGAGATCTGTAAAACAAAAAAAACGGGGTTGGGAGTCGGTAACGCCGAACGACGAGGGAGGGACGACGGAAGGTAACGCCGGCGGACGACCCCACCTTGACCGGAGTCAGCTACTCCGTTTTGGTGCTTGAAGGTATTTTAATTTATTTTTTGTTAAATTTGTTCCAAAGATTTTGAATTGTGTCAAAATATTAATTTTATAAATTTGTTATTGTAAAATAAATATTTAGACCTAGATTGTATGTATAAGTGGTTACTTCATGATTTTTTTGGATTATAATTTGCTTCTTATGTTTTTTATTCATTGAATATATTCCTATGTTGTAATCCTTGAAGCAAATGGATGTACATCCGGGACCTATATTTACGAGATGTTTTAGTAATTGAAGCGGGAGACCACAGGTGTGATGCGGTTTGGGCCAGTGAAGAACATGTTAAACATCTATTAAAGTGTCACAGGACTTGTACTAGTTTGTATGGAGGACACTTATTGTTGATAGACATGTTCGTGTGATTGAGTTTTTACGAGAATACGGATTTTATGGGGTTAAGAAAGTTAGTGGCTTGCAGTTGGACTGAGCTTTGATCACAGCTCTAGTGGAGAGATGGAGGCCTGAGACCCATTCATTCCATCTTCCCTTCGGAGAGGTTGGAATTACTTTGCAAGATGTAGAGGTTTTACTTGGATTGCCCGTATATGGCAATCCATTGGCGGGAATGACTGGCCGATCCAGAGACCAGTGGATTCAGATTTGTGAGGACATGATGAGATTTTGGCCTCAAACTTCCGATATTACTTCTACTATGATTAAGATGTCTGCCATTATTCCTAAGCAACTAACAGATCATAGTTTATATGTAGATTACTTGCAGCATGCCAGAGCCATTATGAAGGTGGCGCACGCTATGGTATAACAACAACAAATTCGTCAGAAAGCTTCAATCATGTCCTTAAGGGATGTCGTTGTTTACCCGTCTTTGCTATTGTGAGGTTCACGTATGACAAATTGGTCAAGCTACTTGTTTATAGGCGAACCAATGGATATTTGTGGCAACAATCTAGGTATAATTTTCCAATTAATGTGTGGAAAAAGATCAAGAACAATGAAGAAAATAGACTTTATTAATGTGTTGTGCAGCACCACGCACAGCATGGGATATACTATGTGGTTGTGGATGGGTCCTTTAACAATGGTCACCGCGAGACATTTGCGGTGAATTTAAATGCACAGACATGTACCTGTGGAGATTGAGTAATATATCACATTTCGTGCATTCACGTTCACGCAGTATGTCATCAATGTAGTGTCACTGTGGATCATTTGATTTCTATTTTTTTCACTCCAGTCCTACATCAACGCTTATTCGGGCATCCTAATGCCGCTTCCCGATGAGGCTGACTGGCCTACTCCAGGATACGAGATTGTGAGACCAACTGCACGAGCGAGAACACAAACCGGTCGACCAATAAGAACTCGCTACCCTAATAACATGGACTACCAACCACGACGACGTCGCAATGAACAATAGCTATATCATGGGTGTCAAATGACCAAATTTATGTTTTATGATTTTCACAAAATAAATTAGTTATGGCATGTGTTTTGTATCCTTAATTTTATGGATAAATTTTATGTACTCTATCAATAAATTTGTTGTAGTTTACTTCTTATTTTTTATTCGGTGTATGGTGCATTATTTAAAGTCAATAAATATTTATTTTATTTATGAATTTTATTGTTAGTAGATTGTTTGTTTCATTATATGTAAATAATTGGTTGACTTTTATAATTTTTTGGTTTTTCAAATATAAGAAATAAAGTAAATAATTCATTTTTAAAAAAAAGTTTAAAAAAAGGCTACTCCATTTCCTAATTAAATGATTGGAATGGAGTTGGCTACTCCGTTTTGCTAATTAAATGATTGGAACGGAGTAGGCTACTCTGTTTGAGGTTAATTATGCAGACGAAACAGAGTCAGCTACTCCACTTTGCTTTATTTGGGAAAATATACACTAAAGTTACATATAATGGAACACAAAACAACTAATATACACATGCAGGGAAATCACCCGTGAAAAGAGGGCAATGCGGATATTTTTTCCAAAGGGAAAATGGTTGGGAGTTTCTACTTGAGATAATCAAGGCAAAAATAGATACACAAATATTTAGAAAATAGACACACAAATATATTAGTGTATGTATATACATATACTCTGTATTAAATATCTTTGTGTATCTATTTTTAGTTTAATACTCACTCCGTCCCAAATTATAATCACTGTTCACTGTTCACAGAGTCAAATTTCATTTATTTTTTTTTCTCTATTTTTGTTAGCAATTTGATAAAATAAAGTATTATTGTCACTACTAGTTTTGTAGATCTGTTGATGTAATATTTTAATATGTAATTTTTATTTTTTAACTTTATACCATTTGTCATATAAAATAATTTGAAAATAATTTCTGTCAAACATCGTAAACTGAAACTATAGATTAGGACGAAAGTAGTATATATTTAAGGGGTGCATTCAAACATGATTCTATTTCTAAAGTTGAAACATAAAAGTAACCCTTAAATCCTTAATCCAACAGCCATCTCCAAAAACCTTCAACGCTTCCCTTCGCCCCCGAACAGTCCACTCCTGTGCCGCAATCTACGCCATGGCTGCAACAGTGAAGCTAGCAAAGGCCCTGCGCCGCCCTCTTCCCACCCCCAGCCGATTCCATTCCACCGCTCGCCTTCTCTCCACCGCCGATTCATCATCCTCGCCGTCGATTACTCAGCAGCCGCCTCTCCCTGCCGCCCTTTGCACCCCGAAACCCTCGTTTCTCATTTCCCACTCCCTTCTTCCCTCCAATCCGTATGGGATCTTTCCCGTCCGCTTCAACCAGGCCCGGCTCCGCGTCAACCGATCCGGGAACCCTTCCTACAATCCCGGGTCCAGCGACCGTCCTCCCACCGAGATTGCCCCGCTCTTCCCTGGCTGCGATTACGAGCACTGGCTAATCGTCATGGATAAGCCTGGAGGCGAAGGCGCGACCAAAGAGCAGATGATCGATTGCTACGTTCAAACCCTAGCTAAAGTCGTTGGAAGGCAATTGAAAAAAATTACAATTAACTGATGATTTATTTATTTTTTTTGGCATTATCTTTCTTCAAAAATGTATTAAAAAAGGTTAACTTTTTAGTATGCTTGTACAGCGTAGAGGAGGCAAAAAAGAAGATTTACAACGTTTCTTGTGAGAGATACTTTGGGTTTGGCTGTGAAGTGGACGAGGAGACTTCAAATAAGATGGAAGGTTTGTAGCATCTTGTTTTTAAACCCTAATATCACAGTTGCATTTGATCTAGAGACTGGCGTGTATAAATTCGATTTCAATTTGGTATAGGTTTGCCTGGAGTTTTGTTTGTGCTGCCCGATTCGTATGTTGATGCTGAATACAAGGACTATGGAGGTAAGTTAACATTTCTGCACTTCACCCTCCCCCGGCCGCCCGCCTTGTCTTTTTCATTATTTCATCATTGATTGCCATGATTTGAGAAAATTAGGTCTCATATTGTTCAATCTATTCGTATTGTTTTTCAGATTCGAGTAGTTTAGGTGATTAATATTAACAAATTAAGATGCAATAACACCTATGTGTTCTACATTATGAAAATACATTAATTCCAATGAAATGGAACATTGGTGATTGGTGCACTCCTTGTTTTACCCACAAATTGACTTTACAGTTTGCACATTATGCTTTATTTTCTGGGAACTTGCACTCAAAGCACCCCAAAGTGGGGTGCAAACTACAAAGTCAAGTATTGAGGATATATAATACTCCCTTTGTCTTGTTAAAAGGGTTTCGTTTTTCCTTTTTCATCTGTCCCAAAAACGGTTTCACTTTCTATTTACAAAAAAAAATCTGTGAATAATTTCTCTCCCTTGCACCACTATTAACCATACAATTTTACTTTTTCTTAATAACCGTTTTGTTTCCATCGTGGAACCTTTTGTGGGGCAAATGGAGTAACAATTTGGGTGCAAAATAAAATGTTGGGGTAAATACATGAGGCACATAAACCAATTTCCATCCAAAAATGATTTTGAGGATCTTTGATCCAATCAATAAGCATCAAAAGTTTGGAGTAATAAATAAAGGAAACACATATTAGCATTGTCCTTATCTTTCATTTTATATTATACTTTACCTCAATCTCTATTAATCTGGCGCATGAAGTTCAAAGATTAACTTGAACAATATAACAACAAATTGAATGAATAGTTATTGAATGTTGAAAATGACACCTCATATTGGTACACTCAATAAGAAAAAACTGGAGTTGTAGATTGGAAATTTTATCTTCTCCATTTGTTGCTCCCAGCCTCCCATCTCCCATAAAACACTAAAAATAAAAAGAAAGAAAAACTGGTACAACCTACTCCTTAGCATGCAGGACCATCATTTCAATGTTTCTGATTATGCATTTTTAGTATGTCACTTACTTTAGAATAAGTGTTCTTTACATTAACAATTGGTTTCACTATAATCATGCCTTTATTTAATGTTTTTTTTTTGTTTTCATATTTGCCATTCTTTAAAACCCCCATGCAAAAATTTAGTCTTCAATGATAATTAAACCATAGAAAGGGGAAATATTGTAATGTTCTTCTCTCCCTATTCTCTTGATTTCTTCCTTTACACTATGTTTGGTTCAAGGAATTTGTGAGGAGAAAAGAAAATGGGTTTCTCTCATTTTCCTCACCTAAATGGGAATGATTTAGTTTTCTCCCCTCTTAGTACATTTTGCGTTCTCATTTTGTTTTTCTTCCACTTTTCATTTCTTTTCCTCTCTAACCAAACAAGAAAATCTTTTTCCTTCTCATTTTCTTTTCTTTTCCCTTTCAAATTCCTTGAACCAAACATAGTGTAAATGTCCCTTACTGATTAAACTGGAGGGAGTATATATACTTATCTGGTTTATTTTTTTGGTTTGTGTTTTAATTAATACTCAACGGGAAATGCATATGATATGCAGCTGAACTGTTTGTGAATGGGGAGATAGTGCAACGGTCGCCTGAAAGACAGAGGAGAGTAGAACCTGTGGTTCAGCGCGACAGAGTACGGCCCAACACGCGGTACAACAGGCGTAGAGATAATAACATGAGATGAGTTAGTTTTCGATTATAACGCGTAGAGATATGGGTTTCTATTATTTCTATTATGAACCTTACCTTTCTGTCATTTGGTGTTTTAGACACTTATGGTTGTGAACAGAAAGTCTGCTTGCTTCTTTGGATGTGTCACTCCCATCTTTGCCTTAATTTATTGTGTTTGGGTATGAATTGCAGTTGAGCATGTTTCCCTTATTGTTCTTTATTAATCCATTCATTAGTGGTTCCATTTGTTATCCCATTTTTTTATTGGATAATGATAGCTGTTAACTATGAAACGGGCACATATGTATATTTACACAGTGGTAAGTAGAGAATTCAGTTATCAAGGCTGCGTTTGGCTGTACGCTGCTAGCTTTCTGTACTATGGCCGAAATAGACGTTACCCGCCACTTTTCCTTTTTGAAAAAAAAGAAGATCCGGTCACTTCAGTCACATACCTCTCACCAAACGGGCCTTAACGGTTGAGAAACAATTTTAACCATTAGTTGAGGGATTGTGTTTCTTGAGTTTCTTCAACTTTGCTTTCTTAGCGGCTTTTCTTCGGCGTTTCTTCTCACAGGAGTCAACCCAGGTGTAATCCGGCGGGATTTGGAAGGGGTCAATCTGATCATTCTGAGAGCAGCACCAGCTTTCGCTCTGATCACCCCGACTCCCGACCTGAAACCACGAAGTCCATGTGCTGTCGGGACCTGCTGGTTCCGTGGACTTGGCATCTTGGAAGTTTGTAGGACTTGAGGGAGGCGTTGAGAACTCTTCCAATGGCTGAAGCTCCTCAAACTTAGTAAAGGTAACAACTACTCGGATGGTCGGCACAATCGGGACAGCAATCTGAGATTAAAAAACAACACTGATAGTATTATTACTAAAGTTAAAACAAGAATGGAAGAATAAATCGCATAGAAAGGAAAGGGGTTAAAGGAATTACATACCTTGACCGGAAATGTGCCGGGCGGCAGCTTGGTGGTTAAAAGCTCCCTCAGTCTTCTCACAGCTTTAACCTTGTTGGCCAATATGTCAAGTAAGGGCAGTAATTCATCTGTTCTCAATGGGAAATCGGAAGTCAGCCACAAAACCGGCCTCAACCCCTTCTTATACTCACTCTCACTCGACGAACACGAAGAAGACGACCCTTTGTTCTTCTTTTTGCACTTGTTATCGTCGTTGTCTTCTTCGTTCTTTTTCTTCTTCTTCTCGTCGTCGTTGGCCATATGTTGCTTTGATGAATTTCTCCTGTCACTCCAACCAAACCAACTCTTCTTTTCTTTATTGTTATTAGTGCAATCCTTATGATTATTATAATTGTTGCCATCCTCTTCGTACTCGAGAATATCATCTGAATTCCCTCCACGGAGGGCATCTTCTAATTGCACTCTTTCCTCCGCCGTCAGAACGTCGCAGTCTCCGTCGTCGCCCACCGAGAAAAGCTCCTCGTCCGTCATCCCGCCGGGGACACGCCGCGACTTCACGCTGGCTATCACGTGGAGCATGTCGTAGACTCTGGCTTTCCAGGCGCCGACCATTTCGGTCTTCTCGCGCCGCCTCATCCAGTTGGAGTGGGGGACGAGTTCCGACCGAGTCACGTCTATGCCCGGCCGGTACATGTTCGTCTTGCACATCAAAGCCACTTCACGGGCGACTTCTGACTCGGTCGGTTCCGCCCCCGCCCCTTCCAAGGCGTTGGTTATCTCCTTTTCCCTGTGAGACATCACTAGCAATGAACCCGGGGGAAGAGCTGTGATTTTCCCCTCGGATCCCTTCCCGAGGAAGAGAATGGTTTGGTCGGAGCGCTGGATGTGGAGGCCGTCGAATCCGGCGAGCGTCATGTCGGCGCGGAGGTTAGATCCCCTTTTCCAGATCCGGTAGGTGTCGGACGGCGCGATTTTCCCGATGAACGGCAGAACGGAGCTCTCCAAATGGAAGGTCATCTCCATGTAGAAATCGCGGATCCGGGAGGCGGACGCGACGATCCTGGGAAGCCGGCGGCACCACTTCGCCCAAGCGAGGGGCTGATAGTGCCTCACGATGATCTTCGCGATGTTCTCCTCCCGCAAACAGACCGCCTCCTGAAGGGCGCTCCACCCCTTCTCGTTCTGGAGACTCCAATCGGCGCCGGCGGACATCAGAATCTCCGCGGAAATCGCGTGGCGCAACCTGACCGCGAGGTGCAAGGGAGTCTCCCGGCCGGGGACATCCCGCCTGTCGATCACGGCGGATACCGCATCGGCGTCGTTCTCGGCCGCCAGAGATTCCGCCTCCGTGTTCACGGCGCCGGCCTTGGCCAGGCGCGGCAAAGCAGAAACGATCTCCTCTAAAGCGGCATGATCTCGCCTCGCCACCGCCAAATGAGCCGGACTATGCGAATACTTCCCCAACTGATCCATTTCTTCACCATCTCCCAAATGAATTAATTAAACAGGCAAGTACAAAATCGAAAATCCAATCGAAGCAATGACAAGGGGGTTTACATATTCATCAATCATATGATGAATTGAATCGCAGAAATTCCAGAAACATTCAACCCCCACTCCAAATCTGGCATGAAGAAGAAGAAGAAGAAATCAAAGATGATCTAAAGGGTTCGAAATGAACGGCTATAAGGCGTAACATTACACCATGAAATTAAAACTTCAACTGCAATGGCGGGTTATGTATATTTACGCACCTTTGGAAAATGAGGCGGTGGGAGGGAGGATGGGGTCTTGGAGAGGGAGAGGGAACAATGGCGGTTGGATGGATTTTTTTGTTTGTGTTTGTGTTAAAACATCCTTCCTATTGCTTTCCCTCCATTATTTTTGCTAGTCTTTTTATTGTCTCACACTAGATTTTACCCGTGCGATGCACGGTGAGAATAATATAACAATAAATTACCTTTATTTGTGTAAACAATAAGTAAATTTGAATGTGTTAATATGGTAAAAAATATAATTTAATATATATCACACACGAATACCACATATTTCGAACAATGCATTTTGTAGAGTCTTAGATCATATAAGAGTTACATATAAATAAACTTTACATATAAGAATGTATTATAAATTCTAGAAGACTTCTTTATATACAACATTTGAAGTGTAGTCCAAAACATTGTTTTTTTATCACAACATAAGATCTTCAGTCGTTCACGATTTGTCACACGGGAGATAGCAACATAAAGCTGATCGTGACTAAAGATTGATTTTTTATGTAGTAGTCCAACATGCAATAGAGATTGACTTTGATTTTTGTTAATGGTCATTGCATAAGAAGGAATGACAATAAATTGTTTCATTTGAAACTTGAAAGAAAAAAACAATTACGGAGTATATTTCAGTTTAATTAAAGTGAAATACAAAGTTTATACAGATAAAGTTTATGAATTTTAAAAACACACTTTATTTAGTGGTAAAATTCACTTTAATTAAACTCAAATATAATTGTTTTTTAGAACGATGGGCTTTAAACTCAAATTAAACTCACTTAAACTTTGAAATGTACGTTTTAATACATGTATTATTTTGTATAATATTTTCACCGTGCATCGCACGGGTAAAATAAAATGTATTTTACTCGTGCGATGCACTATCAAAAATTTAAACTCGGTCACTTAAACTCACTTCTGCCTAAGCTCAATTTAACTCAAAGTAAAGTGAGTTTATGTTTATGCAAATAAGTTCTCAAAGTTTAAAATAAACTTGCAATATTTATTTTTAGAATTCTTGCATTTCATAAAAATCAATTTTTGAATTCCTAATGGAATCACTAAATATTTTCCAAGATATTTTTTGATCCAAAACCTTTTTAATATGGTCTTTTTAGTAGTATTCTTTAATATTTATTTGTCATCATTATATTTTCATGTATGTGCTAAATTTAAGAGTAAAAATGAATACAATTTTAAGGAACATTTTGGAATAAAAAATGAAGTATGAGATTGTTTTCAAGACTCAATATAGTATTTCTAAGAATATATTTACTATTCACTTAGTTAAACTTAAATACGTTTCATACCCATTTTCGCTACATATTTGAAAAAATAATATACTCGGGTAGTATTTTCAGCTTTATTTTGTAAGACTTCTAATATAGTTTTTAAAAATTTATACTTCATTCTTTAATTCCATACAAATTTTTAAATAAGTTAATTTAAAAATAACTTCAGTCAAACTGTAAATAAATAATTTAAATTAAGACGGACAATTATAAATGATCAACTTCACCCAAAAATAAATATAAATAGAAGCGAAAAGAAAAATTTACATCTACAAAAAAAGATATTCAAAAGGCGAGGGCGCATACGACCGAAAATGATTGACAGTAGGAAAGTGAAGAGTTCACAAAAGCACCCAATATTTCAAGATTTGATTCAATTCATATTTTCAATTCAATGAGTGATGATTAGAAGTTTATTTGTACCTATTATGTAATTTCTTTAATTTTCATAAAATTCCACGCCTATAAGGTATAGACTTAAATCTTCAATCATTGCCCTCCAAAACATGCACATTCTTTTAAAGTTTGTGAATTTTCTGAGTTCATACCTGAACTAATATCCAAGGCATGCATGCCTGGTTGCAATTTATCTTTCAATAATTCGAGACACATCGCATACATATGAGGTGCTGAGATAATGGCATTGAAACCTAAATTCATTGGGCTGTCATCGTAAGGTGGTGTGTCAATGGGCACAAACAAAGCCCTACCAATACTTCGCATCACTTCGGCTACGGCCTCTGAATTGATCACCCCAATACTCTTCAATCGATTAATCATTCTATCATTTCCTTTCAAAGAGCTTCCACTACAAAATCGTTGTGTGCAAAACATAGACAATGTTGAAATAATAGGACACACATATGCCTATAAAGAACATATGACATTTAACAATGTACTGGTATTTCAATCCGTTAGTGGTATGGGTCACTACAATTTGCCAAGAAGAGATACAAAATTCTATTGAGGGTGTGCATAAACTGACAAACACCCTTGCCAAAAGGCAAAAGGCTAACGTCAGATGATGGTAAGGCACACCAGAAGTCGGCAAGCAACACCAAAATCAACCAAAATTGCTTCCATTTCTGCACCTTCCTTCTGTATCTCTTTCTTGGAAAGCTGTCACTCTGCTTCCTTGAGTGCTCACTGCAGCCTTCCTCTATACAGGCTCAAAATGCTGAGAGACATCAGCTTTGCGTTCATGCTCGTCCTCACCATCATCATGAACTTCACCAAGTTGCTTCATCACACTCACTTTTGTGCAGTAATGTCATATACATATGACATTACTCTTTCTTGAATTCCTCAATGGCATAGGCTTGTTCTTTGTGCCCTAAATCTTTCAGACCCCTGGTGAATCAGTTTGGTACAACGACATAGCATGGTCTAAGGCCTTGCATAGGGTTGCCATCTCCGTGTCGAGAACTCAGTGTCCTCGCCTAGAATATATTCTCAAATATGGAGGAATCGATCAAATCCTTCTCTTTGATGAAGAAATATGTCCAGAAGGAATGTGAGAGAACTGTTATCCTGTACATTCAAGAGCATATGTCAATGTGCACTTGCAAAAGTAAAATAGACCTCTTACATCAACTTTGAAAAGGCATTGAGAGTAGAAAGCGTAGTCATATTGGCACAGTAAAATTGAACTTGCAAAGATCGATCTACATAGATAAAAAAAGCTAAAACAAAACTGCTGCCTTGCAAGTGATTCCTAAAATTGAGACCATCAAAATACATATTAAAATTTGCAATCAAGAATTCTGATTCTAAAATTTTTAATTTGCAAAAATCTAGATGTAGAACATTTATAAAAAAAGATAATTTGCAAAAATCTAGATGTAGAACATTTATTTGAAGAGACTGCTGCACGATTTCACTAATTTTCTCATTATACTTCCAACACAAGCATGGTGCAAGCTCTCCCATCCCTGATCTTTCAGGCCTGCTAGTGAGTCACTTTGGTACATTGACATAGCATGGTGTAAGCCCTTGCCCAAGGTTGCCATCTCTAGTGAATCATGCATTCACTTCCTACCTTAAACTCCCTAAAGCAACAAAAGATATAAATAGAAAGGGCTAGCAATTTACATAAGATTAAACATATAGAATGATCAATACCAAATGAGATAAATCGTCGAGCCTTGCATAGTTGTTGCCATGAATCAAAGTTAACCACATTCTTCTTCTCAGTAGTGAAAAAAAGGAAGCCATCATATTCCTGCAAACCGAATATATATTCCTTTTACTTGAATATTGCTTTAGAATATCCAATATGAATTTTATATATATTTTAATTTTAAGGATTATAAGATATGAAGGCAATGAAACAGCTTGAATTTCGAAATCTCAAAATTTGTAAAAGAGAAATATAAGCTTAGAGTTGAACAAATAATTGAATATGACTCACTGTGCTTGATGAATGAAAATATTGAACACTACTTAGAATAAAGTAATTCCCTTAATTACAATTAGTATTTTAGAAAAAAATTAAGAAATGTGTTCAAAATTGGGTAAACATTCTTTGTGAAGATTGATACAAATATTAGTTCCTAGAATCATATTACCCAATTTGACATGAAATGCATCACAATCTCAATACAAATAAATTGAAACAAAACCTATTGATTGGTGTGGAAAATAATAAATATACCTCCCTATCACCTTCATCTTCTCCAATAATCATCTTCATCAAGATACATAGTCTTCTTCTCTGGGCCTTGATGGTTTTTTATACACCTTCTTGGACATTGTTGGGCGCTTGGGATAGGGTTTTCTTCTTTCTCTTGCTTCATGCCACCAAGCACTAATGAAATAAACATGAAAAGAACATGATTTGGAATTTTCTAACCTTATATCTGTAAGACATTTTATATGTAACCACCTATAGAATCCATTTCCTACAATATATCTAAAACAAAAATATAGAAAAAAGCTAGCAATAAGTATAACCACCCCACTCTATAATAATATTTTTTGCTTCTTTTTTGAAGTTGACTAACTTGGAATTAGCCCTGAAGTTTAGGTTGTTTAGCGATGCACTTACGTGGATTAGCGGTGGAATTCCCTCAACTATATCTCTAATTTCATGGTGTGGTTTTGTAAGAATAATTTGTAAATCATCTCTTATGTTTTTAATCCTAATAATGGAGAAACATCCTACTTTGACACTGGCTTTGACATTAAAAAAATCAAAGAAATACAAAGAAATCAAAAGCTCAAAGGCTCTCCGTGGATTCGCTGAGAAATAAAAAATCAAAACAAAACGGATGGATTGGGGTTTAATTTAGAAAATGGGTCTAAACAAAATCTAGACTTGTTTTTTAGAAGAAACTACAAAATTGATAAAATAAAGATAAAATTGATACAAAGATATATAGGATTATGGAAGGAAAGAAGATAAATTTGAAACCTCAACCTGTACCTCTTCATTAAAAGGCAATGTTCTCATAGTTTTCTCGGTCTTCTCTGTTTTATTCTGGTTAATTCAGTATCCCTCTCTGTTTACTCTCCGATCTATGATGCGCGAAGCATAAGAGTTGTTTTCTGAATTTAATGGTCGAAACCCTAGCCCGGTGCTGTCATCCGTCGTCCCTGCATCACCCTTTATCACTATTGTCTCCCTTCTAGCGCTACAGATCTTCCCTAGGCTCAACGCGTGAAGAAGATCCGACGCAAAATCAGCCTGTGTTGCACGGCTAAGAACATAGCTCACAGATTTGATAGAAAAAGAGAGATGGAATTGGGGGTGAGATGGTAGCGTCTAGTGATTGTGAGTTTAGAGATCGTGCCTGGACGGTTTGAGTGCTGAGATCGTGCTTGGACGGTTGGTGCATCACTTGAGCAGTAATTTTTTCTCTGTTGTAAATAGGAGGATAACCGATAATGTACCGCAACCGACGTCGTATTGGTCTCAGACAACTGGGCTGGAAATTTTTCCTACTGCTGTTGTAAATAGGGGGATTCTTTCCCAACGTTTAGAGTCACATATATAAAAAATGAGACTTCAAAAAAAAAATTTAACTTCTCTCTAATGAAGTGTTTTTCAAAATTCATCATCACTAAGTTCAAATTACCTATATGATACTTTATAATTGAAATTTATTTTCTAGATACTCTTTCATGAAAAAATGTCACGATAATTTGGTATTTTTATTATATAAACATAGAGTACTTAAATTTATCATTTCTAATGACATGTTTTTTCAAAATAGTCTTTTCTAATTAAGGGAGTGCATTTTATTCAACTTTAAAAATACTTTGATAGATTTTTAATAATTTATGGATTATTAACAGTCAATGATTATTTTAATTTTATATGAAATTGTATTGAAATGACTATTTTGAGAATCTCTTTTGAGTTTATAAAATGGAAATAAAATTTAAGCGACATGTTTCATGAATGATTATTTAGGGAATAAATTCTAATTATAAAGAAAAGATTATTTTTTAAACTTATTTATTTATTCAAGGATGTTTTGGTGCATGTTGTTGGAGATGACATTGTTCTGATCAACGAGACATATGACGAACTGAATGTTAGTTTGAAGCGGTGAATATTAACATTGGAATAGAAAAGTTTCCAATTGAACAAAACTAAGACCAAGTACGTGGAATGTTACTTTGGTGGTACGAGGAGTAAGTCAGGAGCAGAAGAGATGATTAATTCACATCTGGTGCAGCAGACACCGGAATTCCATCATTTAAGTCAATGAGATAAGTCAATGAGATAAGTAGAAAATATCTTCAAGTGTCTTTTGTAATAAGAATATCGACAGTCCTGGGAAAAAGAATTTATCGAACAATGTCATACTGACTATGTAGTATGATGCAGAATGTTATGCGTGAACGACACACATGTTACAAGGTGAATGTGTGGGTGAAGGATGGATTAGATCGGGAACAAAATAAAATTTGGGGAACTCTAGGAGTGGCCTCTACGAAAGATAGCTACAAGAAGTTAGAATAAAATGATTTGAGCATATACAGAATAGAAGCACTTATACCCAAGGTACAAAATAATTCTTCACGATAAAAATACAATACCCTGTGCATCATGGATTGACAAAAAGTAAAATTTATTTACTTCCTCCGTCCCAATTTATAGTGCTTGTTTACTATTCACATGATCAAACTTCGTTCACTTTCTTTCTTTATTTTCGTTAGCAATGTGATAAAATAAAATACTATTGTCACTACTAGTTTTGTAGATCTTTTAATGTAGAATTTTAATATGTAATTTTTATTTTTTTTAACTCTATGTTATTTGTCATATAAAATGATATGAAAATAGTTTCAGCCAAACATCGTAAACCAAAACAGGTATTATAAATTGGGACAGAGTGAGAGTAATAAATAGATGAAGCGTATACACGTGAATATATGAATAAATGGCTAAAAAATTATTCCGAATAAATTATTCCAATTTATCTCATTGTTAGGCATATTTCTTCTATTTCACTTTTTTTACAAGAGCTTATAATCTATTTTGGTTTATTTATGTGATCTACTTTGTATCTATTTTACAAGCGTACTACCACGGAGTATTAAGTTTGGCCGACTTGACTAGACCTTGGTCAAAAGTTATATAGGACTTCCTCCGTCCCAAATTATAGTGTATGTTCATTATTTACAGGGTCAGACTTCATTCACTTTTTTTCTCTATTTTCGTTAGCAATTTGATAAAATAAAGTACTATTGTCACTACTAGTTTTGTAGATTTTTTGTAGTATTTTGATATGTAATTTTTATTTTTTATTTCTATACCATTTGTCATATAAAATGATTTGAAAATAATTTCAGTCAAACATCGTAAACCAAAATAGACGCTATAAATTGGGACGGAGGGAGTAATAAACGTCATAGGTTATAACAAAAATTCAAGTAATTATAGAGTAATAATGTTTCAAAGACGAGTCTGCCAACATAAATAAATGAACACAAAAAAAAACACAAATAGGTTTAAGAAGTGAATGTGCACACAACACAATTTCCATGCAAAAATCATATCATCATCCCATCCGTCCATTTAGTGCTAATTAAAGTCCATTTACACTGCCCTTTAACACTAATAATACGACTTATGGGTTAAACTCACTAGTAATTAGTAGTAATTACACAGATTAAAAACACCATTACAAAGCTCCACATCACATATAGATATTGAACACAGCAAGAGCCAAGAGGCCATGAAAGAGAGAAAGAGAAAACACTGCGCCTGAGCACTGATCATCCTGGGAAAGGGGGGGAAAACATTTTTGTTGAGAATGTAAAGAAATAAGGGGGGGGAAACACTAATGTTTTATCTAGGAACAAATAATTTCTAATCACAATTCCTTACAACTAGCTAGAGAAAGAAAGAAAGAAGTGCTAGAGCTTGTGAATCATGTTTTGGCATAATCTGCCAAGACACTTGTTTTTTTAAGTCAGAAGAAGAAGAAGAAGCTTCTGTACTAGTAGAACTGATGTTTGACTTGGCAACCAAGCTTTTTTATGCAGATGCAACAAAAATCCTTCTAGCCATCCCAGAAAAAAACACCCCACTTGTTTGTTCTTCCTGGAACGAGACACACGTTGGTTAATCCCATGGGCCATGGCTTTGCTGTGCAAAATTGTCCTCCGCTGTTCAAAAGCCACCACGCCAAATAAAATACCCTAAAAATCACCTGATAACAACATAGAGAGAGAGAGAGAGTCAGGATTATGAGAAAAACTGGCACACAGCCACACAGGTAAAAGAAGCTCTCTGATATAGCATTAATTTGGAGTTCATGACGTGAATAAGATAAACTGCTTTAAATTGAAAGTCGGGTAGGGCTAAATTCATCCCACTTTTTGCTAGGGCCACCCAGAGTGTGTTTAAATATCAGGGAGGAGTGGGGTGGATTTAGCCCTAACCTTAGAAGTCCTATGATCTTGTGATCTAAAAGTGTGCAGTGTGTTTAATTATCAGGGAGTACCTATTTGCACCATGTTTACATTGTTCATTTTTAGTCCCTTCTGAAATATGGGACCCATCTTTCACATTTGGTAAATTCAGTCTCAATCATTACAAACTGAGAAACACGTAACCCCTCTTAAAATCAACATTTTCAACAATTACCCCCCCTCTCACCGTTATAGAATGCCAAGAATGGCCCTATAAACCCTAATATTAATAGTGTAAACGGTGATTCTAAAGGCATGGCTTAATTTTTTCCAACAAATAACAATTTAGTGACTAAACACCCATTTTTTGTCTTATCAGTCAGATTTTGTTTTACCAAATACTAATTAATTTAACTGCTAGTTGAATTGGTTAAGAATGAAAAAGTAGGGTCGGGGTATTTTTTGCCTAAAGTTGCAGAAGATTATCATATCTACCTTTTTTCATATGATTATTTTTCATATATTCTAAATGAATTTTTTTCATAGTTCAGCAATTTCAGCCAAGTAATAATTGGGGGATCTGTGTAGTTTTCCCTTTAAATAACACTGATAGTATAAATAATTGAGCTTCTCCCTTGGTTTGAGTGGCAAGAAGACCACTAACCAAGATCTTGTGGGATGCTCACCCGGGATAGGTTCCCAGCGGAGGCATTGGCATTTGGCTCACTGTGAGTCATTAGGTTACTACAATTTTATAGAGTCAATAGCATACAAAAAAAACATTAATGATGCACGGATAAAGGTGGGTCATGCCTGCGAGTTTACCTTCCATATCACATAATTAAACTCAAAAGGGAGCCTCGAGCGATTCATCCCAGACATCAGCACTTCCATTGGAGGCATCTTCTGCGTCTTCCTCCATTGAAAGCCTAATATATTCTCTATGGGCAAAGCGGTCCCACTCAGTCAAACTTGGATTCTCACGCTCCTTCAAGAATAAAAATTATACTCATAATTAATTAATCCTTGGCAACTTGTAGAATCTCATAATTCCATAACCAGATCAAATATTTCATAACTAATACCTGACGAATTAGGAAAGGATCACGAGTTTCAAATGCCATGAATTTATTGAGGTTAAAAAGTATGTTAAAAACACTGCCCGACAGTTTGCTTCCCTTCAAGTCGCGTAATGTAACATAGCTTTCATCCTGTGAAGAAAAATAAACAAAATTGATTGTCAATTGAACTCGTTATATCTTGAAAATGACATCTAGAATCAAAATTAGGCATTCCCTTAGCAACTGTCTGGACTTCAGATGGAGGCTTTTGGAGAAGTTTGGAGAGGAAGGCCTAGTTTTCAGAATCATGTTTGTTTATCAAGATATAGACTATGATCCACCCTACAAACCCCTTAATCCAGACAGATCCTTAGGTACAAATAAAATAAATCCTCCCACTCCCAAAAAACAAAACCAAAAAATAAAAATGCAAGGCCTCTTCCAAAGCTAAAAGAGGCCCTTTAAACTTGAAAAACAATTGTTTTCTTGAAATAAAGTCCATTAGCATAGGGAAAGAAAAGTAAGAGCCAGAGAAACATATAAAAGCAGCAACCAAATGAAATGCTACCTCGGGACTAATCATGTCGACAATCTGGCACAAAATATCCTCAAAGAGAACCGGCTCTTGGGCCATGCATTCCATTCTATGCAATTGTTCCTCGTAGAAGAACTGCATTTCGTTCCTGGTTAGAACCCCATTCCCATCCAAATCTATGCACTTAAACCTGATCCAGTTAATGAAAAAATTGTCAAATGTGTGCATGCTCCCACACACATATGTGGTTAAAGGGTGTCAGCTCCACCTCCATGTGACTCAAACCCACAATATAACAAGTATAGGTTAAGTGTCTTACCACTTGAATTGCACATTGAAAGATGATGCCTGATATTTAGGCAGTTCAATTTTTTCATAGGTGTAAAATTTCTTGTTTAGTTTGCATGAATATTTAATGTTTACAAACATCTCTACTCATCTTTGTCTGATGACAGTTTCCAAGCAGATGATGGCAGTTTTAAAATTTTTATCTAGTTGTGTGTTCTTATGAAGGTTGCGATTGAGAGGTATCCAGCATTAAACATTGTCCTTATGATTCTTTCCATTAATTAATAGCATTAGGTTAATATAAACATGTTTGATTTGGGATGAATTTGAGTTAAATACTCCGTATATTAATTGATAATGGGTGAACCCATGTGCAAGTAGGAAAATACTCCCTCCAACCCTCAACTTTTGTCCACTTTGGAATCGGCACACTAACCAAGTTGAGGAGAAAAATTACTCAATTACCCCTGATCAAAAAAATCATTGTCATCCTCCTACCCCTTCGGTCATCCTGCTACCACCCCTTCAACTTGTTACCAGGCCCCCCTCATCATCCTCACAACCCAACAAAAAATCCGACATCCTCCACCATTTGCCCCACCTAGCACAGCCCTCTAAACAACAACTCCCAGCCGAGCACAGCCCTCTAAGATGAGAGAATATCAGAATTGCAACTCATCTCAGATCTAGATCTTGAGATGAGTATTGCAATTAACAAGAGAGAGAGAGAGAGAGGGAGAGAGAGAGAGAGAGAGAGAGAGAGACGAAGCAAAGAAATGAAGAGGATGTGAGGTCTAGGGTCATCCAATTGCAAACTGGTCAGATCTAGAATCATCCAATTTATCAGTTTTATCTTCCATTTTGCCAGCACCAACCGCAACAATCTCATTGCCAGCATGACAACCGAACACAATTGGCAGCCTTGATGAAAACATCTGGTGGTTTCAATGGAAACGCGCAGAAGGTAACAAAGGAGAGGAGAGAGGAGAACTAGAGTTGTAGAGAAGATGAGAATCAGAGACTGGGGGAGGGGAGACGATTAGGCAAAGTAGATTGAGAGTGGTATGGTAGAGGGTATAATAGACCTTTCCTCTGATTTATGTTTCCATATAAGGAAAGTAGACAATACTGAGGGATAGCCAAGAAAGAAATACTGGGCAAATACTCGGGGACGGAGGGAGTACTATATTTGGCTTAGGTGATCCTAGGTGGCTAGGTGGAGGAGGAGTCAAGCGAGGGGAAGAGAGAGGTCTTCTGCAGGCCGGAGAGAGGTCTTCTGCAGGCCGGAGAACCAGCCGATGAAGGTGGATCATGGGATTCTGCATGCCAAACCAAAATCTAAAGGTCAACCTCCGAAACCATGTACTGATGAAAACATATGTGAGAATCAAATCACTGGGTGTTCAAATCGTATAAAGCCCCTTTCACAAGGAACATAATAATCACCAAGCTAGTTAGGACTTCAAAAGCCGTACTGCTTGTTTAGATGGAGCATAAGGGTGAAGTAATGGAAGGGTAAAGTATTGCTAGGTTTAGGAATGAAAGAAAAACAAAAAAAGGGTGAGGAAGTGCAAGTGTTCCCATTAAGCTTCGTTTGTATTTAACTATTTATTTGCTAACACCACAATTTAAGATGTAGGGGAGGTGAAGTGAGATTAAATAACATTTTTAAGATGACGTCAGCCCCCTTCCCCTCAACCACTACCTCCAACCATGGCCGCTACTATCTACATTATTATTCTTCCCTTGAGAGTAGTTGAGACCCTTCTCAATCTTATCCTCTCCTAATTAATGATAAAGTTACTACTTACAAGTTACACCTCTCATTTCTTCCAATCACTTTCGCTTACCTAGACATCCCTACACTTCCATCAATTAAACCTTGACACCTCATCAAACAAACTCTTATTGCAAAATGGGCTAAGAATTTTCAACAAAAAAAAGATTTTGAAAAACAAAGAAGAAAATGCAAAAAAGATAGAAATTAAAAAAAATCAATGCAGTTGTGAGTTTGTGACGAATTATGTTAATCATGCACCACTCACCAGTACTCTAGACTAGGCTCTGAAGACTTATCCTCTTCTGACAATATGAAGTACACAAAATCTTCATAACTCATCTTTCCTTCAACCTTACTAGTGAACTTTCTAGGAACCTGGAACAATGTCCACGCACAAAAGTACAAGTAAATATTTCCATCTCGCACAAAATGAACAAAATAAAACTGAAAAACACTAGAATAGAGCACAAACCTGAGAGAATATTCTATCAACAATCCGATAAGTAAGAGCATGGTTACCATATCTAATAAGGTTCTCTTTATCAATCAGAAAATCATGATCTGTATCCAGTTCCCAAAACTTGCAATATATCACGTAAAAATGTTCATAAGAAAAGAACCTGCAGCAAAGAGTAGAATAATAAACTGGAAACCTACACAACTGATAAGTATGAGGTAAATGTAGAAAAGCATTGTTAATAAACCATGTGATATCCGAATTTTGTAACAGGTGTTACCTAAACATCTTCATAATTCATATCAAAAGAAGTGAAACAATATAAAGACTTAGTAAACCTATGCATAGGTTTCTTAAGACCCTAGCAAATTGCAACTTTCAGAGATCAATGTGCGGTACTTTTTACCTTTCTCATAAGGAACTATTTTTGAGTTTATAGGGAAGACTAAACCCTTGTTTCTTGGCTTTTTCTCGCGCGCAGGAGGGGTACATTCAAGTTGAACAAGGGTTTGATTTCGAGGTCTCGATCCTTGGAATTGGCAAATCAAGGTTGTATAACAAGAATGCTTCTAGATCTTATGGATGAAACACGATTAGAGACAGATCGTAAATAGAGAGAAGGGAGAATATTGTATAAATTTAGAAGGGTAAAATAGACTTTTTGAACACTTTAGACATACCAAAAAGAGAAAGTGAACATATGCAGTGAGAAGGCCCAAAAAAGAATACCGGACAAAAATGCTGGGACGGAGGGAGTATTATTGCTAATTTTAGGCTACGGAGTATAATTAATCTAAAAATGTGCAACAACAACAACAACCCAGCTGGATCCCACAAGAGTAGGGTCTGGGGAGGGGGATTAAGCTAAAAATGTGTTTAGTAAATACGGAGTAAATAAATAAATAAATTCAAGCTCTTATTTTGAAATGGGTTTCAAAAAATTCTGATCTCATTTATTTTCACTCACAAACCTATTACTTCGTATTTTTTTGAGCATATTGTTTTAAATGACACTTTTTATTCATCTCTCAATAAATTCAAATTCCTTTTATCCTCTGAAATTGTCAAACTTACCCAAGAACCATGTGCATCAAACAATTTCATCTTTTATCTTTCAAATCCCCCCAGCAATTATCTTTTCAACTATGTTTGTCAAAGCAAAGACCTAAATCACATTGAGTGGGTGGAATATGTATGTGCAGCCAAATGGATGATAATGCAGATATAGTTGTAACCAGCACAAGAATAGAAAACGAGGAAAAGAAAAGAAAAAAATTAGAAGTGACCTTGTCGAGCCAATCATTTTACCTTAAGACCTTGTTGATATCCTCTTCTTCATCTGCATGTAGCATTGCAGAAACTAGGTCCGAACGTTTCAGTTCTCTAAGTGTAAGGCAGCCATTACCCGATCTATTCACATAGTAAAATATTCTGTATATAACAGTTTCAGCTGCAATATAAATTAATTGTTAAGATGATATGTAAGCACAAATTTACCACAGAGAGAGTACATGATTGGGAGTTACCATATCTTTCTTGAAATTCAGGTGTACTCTGTAAGAACTCCAACCCCGGATGAGTAGCCAAAAGTTCTCTAAGCACAGGTTTGAAGTCCTCCTATAATCCATAGAATGATGAAAATTAAACTCATTTAGGAAAAGAAAAAAATGGTTATTGAAATGTTCGATTTTGTAAATCAACTCATTTTCAATGTTCATAACTAAATCAAAAATTCATTTTCATGTGAGTTGACATATTTGAGATTAATGAATTAGAAAATGTTCTTTTGCTAAATCAAATGCAAGGAAAACCTGTGTCAGATACTTCAAATCCGGCTGCTTTAGGACAGAGAAAATTTGGGTTACTATATCCTTGGTCAACATATTGCTGTTGACCCAATAATCAGCAAAGGCATCCCTGAGGCAAAGGAAAAGAATGTGTTCTCTCTTAACACATTAAAAAGCCAAAAGCCGGAGGAAAAGAGAAGAATGAAAATAAAACAAAGACGGAGTAAAAGAAAGAAAACTGTGTACAAAGAAAAAACTATTACTGAGCTTGTTTGTCCAGGTGCATATTGCCGTTTACCTACTCTAAGAAGCAAAAAGCTAGGAAAAAAAATGATTTACAAAGTTCTTTTTTATGTATAAAAGGACACAATGTCCAAATTAAAATACCTCATTATTAGAAGTTTCGATTTGAACATTGAGTCATATAACTCATATCTATAACTATCCTTTGAATGTATTGTGTCAGGGCAATCCTACGCATTTAAAGGCCTGAGTCACACACACATAGAGTAACTTTTTTAAATGTTTAAACAACGGATTGTTTTAAATGTACAATATTCAGAAACATTCTTGCACAACTTTGGTAAACAATATTTAGGCAACGTAGTAATTTACATAAAATTCTTTAGCTTTAAATTACCTAGCTATAGGCAACATGTGTAGAAACTATTATAAACTTATTTTAAAGTAATATAGGATGATAGGTATTAGTGTATTACAGAATAAGGTGTTCTTCATCCCTCAATTGCCTATACCAACTAAACTAGGAGCATCAAGATTCAAGACAAACAATAATACTCACCTAAATTATTGTTGTTAGCCTACTAATATTGAAGAACAAATAAGATGAAGAGTTGTGGGTTTACAGTGACTTGGTGTTGTAGTCTCACATATGCAATTTCTTTTTACCTCACACCTCTCAAGCTTCTTGTTTTGATGTCGTAGGTTTGCCATTTAAGAATGGACTCGGGAGAATTGAAGTGGAAGAACCAAAAAGGCATTTCAGCTGTATGCTTAGGCATTTGAGTTATAAAAGGAATTACAAGAAATACGATATGTCCACCAAATATTTAATTAAAAACTTTCATAATTTTTTTTTCTGAACAACAGCTTTTGCTCGATGTCTACTTGGGCCAACCAAGTACGCATTATATGATAGCTAAAAATGATCTTTTCCTTCAAACTATTAAAGATATAAGGGAGCAAGAAAAAATGATTGACATAGATCGAATGAGAGATTAGCCTCGTCCTTTCTTCTATAAAGTTTACCTGGTAACAATTCCACCGCAACCACCATCAATCTTCTTAAACAGAGCAGTGGAAAAGAATGATGGGAGCTTGCATATTTCTTTTGTAATCAACTTAAATTCTGATATACATTGGAAAAAATGGGTTATAATTGAATTAAGTACAATACCCACTAACCAATTAATGTTGCAATCATAAGAAAAATGCCAAAAGCACAAATAACAATATTAGGAAACTTTTCTACTCTGTGTGTTGCATAGTACACCAACTCACTTCAAGCACGTAACATTTCCATTGCAAATCACAAGCCATCATAAATAAATGCATTTTAAACATACTTTATATCTGCATCCAATATGGAGCTTCTTTGTATTTATTTTTTAATTGTAATGCAGTAACAATACATGCAATACAGTTAACACGTGATTCTATTGAGGAAAGACATAACGCTAGAAAAAATGATTATACCAACATCAATCTTCTTAAACAGAGCAGTGGAAAAGAATGACGGGAGCTTGCATATTTCTTTTGTAATCAACTTAAATTCAGATATACATTGGAAAAAATGGGTTATAATTGAATTAAGTACAATACCCACTAACCAATTAATGTTGCAATCATAAGAAAAATGCCAAAAGCACAAATAACAATATTAGGAAACTTTTCTACTCTGTGTGTTGCATAGTACACCAACTCACTTCAAGCACGTAACATTTTCATTGCAAATCACAAGCCATCATAAATAAATGCATTTTAAACTTACTTTATATCTGCATCCAATATGGAGCTTCTTTGTATTTATTTTTTAATTGTAATGCAGTAACAATACATGCAATACAGTTAACACGTGATTTTATTGAGGAAAGACATAACGCTAGAAAAAATGATTATAACTAAAAACAATAATCAGAAAACCAAAAAAAAGTGTTTTCACCTGCTTTTCTATGATTGCACAGGAATATGGAGAATATAGGAAACTTACCATGCATATGTATTCCATCCATGTGACCATAGAAAAACTGGTTGATCCTAAACAAGCACCTTTCCTTCAATTCAGCCGGAGGTGGAGGGCCATTTTGAAAGTAGAACTGCCACCATGAAAGTATTGTTTAGGGAAAAATTAATAAACCAATTCTTGCATTGTGTACAGTAATGCTTTGGAAATGAATAGATCATGAAACTCTGGCTAACCTGAGGTATCATCTCTTTAACTGGTTCATTCACTAATTTCAGAGGAGAGCCTAACTGAGATGGACCTGCCCTGTGCTTCATTGTTCTGGGTGAACCCGATGAACTTCTTGGTGAAAGTGGAGGTGTGCTTCCAGCAGGAAACATAGATGGCAAAGAATTGCTCATGGCAGCACTACTGCTAGATGTTCCAGAGACGTTGAGAGGGCCACCACCCTTGGCATTGTTAACCAAAGATTTTACCTGTATATGGAGAAAATGTGATTTAACTATAATCTTCTAAGCTAGGAACATCAACAAAAATAAAATTCAACACCCACAAGTCACGCACAAAAAATAATAAACAATAGAAAAAAAACATGCTAAAGAAGAAGAGCCACATATTAGAATTATAAACAAAACTATAAAGAAACATATTATAAAGTTCATGACTTTTGGATTCATCAGCCAACCCCATATCTTTATTTCAATGTTATGCAAAAGATGAACCACATATGTAGATACAATGCAGGTATTATATTCTCTACATAATCACAATTCACAATAAGAAATTAATCGACACACTGAAGCCTCTAGCCCTCTACAAACACCACTTCTAACTTATGTTTAGACAAGAAGATATTGCAGAATAAATAACAACATCGTGAGCCTCATAGAATTTCAATGTCATACATTTGTCTATCACTTAACTAAATGATACTTCATATTTTTGTATTGCTCCTTTAGTGGGACTGCCACTTACTAAACATATACTACCTATTTTCCTTCCAATCAAATGAGTAGAATACTAACAAATTGTCAAGCGAATGCTAATTACTACAAGCAATGTGCATCATCTAACATCTTAAATAAACAAACTATAATTGCAAACAATAACCCATAGTAAATGTGGAAAAAATCTAGAGCGCACTGCAGGAAAATAAACTACTTTTTCTGTATTAGCTTCATATCTGATATCCAATTCAGTGATACATAATCCATATTCCATAATTGATCATATCATGTATCTCCAATCAAAATTATGAGATAAACATGAGTTCACTAGTTCTGATGTCATACTTCAACTTCGAGAAAAATATAAAATTGAATATACCCATTATGCCCCAGCCCACTGTGAAGCAAATTCTTAGGGGATGAAGACATGGGGTATACATAGACCCTAGGATTAAAAAATAAAGAGGTTGTTTCCTTTTAGATCGGGGCTAAGGAAATATTTAGGGAAGTTTTGGAAGATGTTAAAAAAGAGAATATTCTTGAATAGAAGAAAATTATATTTGTCTCAAATTAACTGGCATTCAATGCTTGGGAGATTACCTTCCTCCACGATAGACATGCAGGGAGAGTATTTAAATTTCCTTTTTTCCAAGTATATGCAACCAATCCTAGGATTTCATATTTCATGACTTGTCTTCATTGACTGGTGAAGAGGGAAAAAAAAGAATAAAATCCTATCAATCTACAAATTTCTCTATTTAATATCACAAACTTACATAAACGGGTATTCTTAAATTATTAGACGAGACATAATCTCAACTGTGAGAAATGAATTGAGATCACAAATGACAGTGTTTCCACCAAAAGAAAAATTTATACATACATAAATTTGTGCAGTCATTCAATTAATAAGGGACCTTAAGATAAAAAAATTGAATTCCCGACAACATGAGCAAAAGTATCAGTGTATAATGGCTACGCAACCAAATTATTGATGAGGAGATCAGGTAAGCAGTTAAAAATAAGAAAATGAAACCGGCATAATAGCAGTTGAAGCCAACAGCCCTACACTCTGATTCACAAAATTAGGAGCAGCATTACAGAAGTTCCACTTCAGTCTTAAAAGCACATATGATAGTACAGTACTCTTATAACCTATTCTCTATTTTAACCAACCCAACCTGGATATCTTGTCAAATCTTTAGTCAATGAATCAACTTCTCTATTTTTCTGTACATCAGATCCCAAATATTCACTCAATGTCATCCAAGTTCGTCATGTTTTGTCTACATCCTTTAACGGTAAATGGTGCGAATAAGAAAAAAGTTATACAACAACCCAGTATAATCCCAACTTTGTTCAGTTCAAGATGTAGGCAGTCTTACCCTTGTATAAACGGAGAGGCTATTTTTGTTAGACCCTAGAATGCCTAGATGCATTGCGGCATTTAGTGCCCAAAACTTCAGAAAAAGTAAGAAGCACGGGAAGTTTAATGTTTTTTTTTAATTTTGTCTATTATGAGCCAAAGACTAAAACAATGTAAATAATGACTTTTGTAGCAACATGGATATAGATAATAATAATGAAAAATAAAATTGAAAAACATGGATTTCTTTAGCCAACCGAACTGTGTTCCCTTTGAACTTTAAACTAATCTTCACCTTCAATATAGTTGGTCATGCCATTAAGAAGTACTCCCTCCATCCCTATTTGATTGTCCCATTTTGACTTTACATGGAGCATAAGAAAAGTGAAATTGAGTGGATAAAATGTATGCATAGAAGAGAAAAAATATAAGAACCACACAATTATTGCTTTGGAAATGGGACGGTAAAAAGGGGCATTTTGAAAAGGAAAGTGGGGCAATAAAAAGAGGACAGGAGTTAAAGACGACTAAACCAATATAAGATTTGTTCCACTTTTCTCATAGCAGACATTGAGTTTAGGTGGTCATTCACTTTAGTCGTCAACAGAATGTTCAATATAGATATATAAATTATATCATCAAATTTAAGCGAAGGTATAATGGTCAGTACTAGCAACATGGACAGGACATAACAACCCATGATAGTATACATTGGAAAAAAGAGGGCCCTGCACTGCCAATAAATGGTGAACTTTGAATAGTGCAGATGAAGTTTAGGAAACATAGAAACTGTTGCTACTCTAGATCTATACAGATGTTAATGCTGTCGGAATATTTTAGAATGAATATGAAACAAAATACAATACGAACTAAATGCATCTAGGCACAAATACAATTTCACATAGTTCCCGGAATGGCAATTTCAACAAATCTTCAATGATAAATATTTTCACTCATTAATACAATGGAATGTTTAATCGCTGGGCTTCTTTATTTTCTCACTGTTTCCAGGAAAGGAAATAATAACTCCTAGCCAACATAGGAAACACTTCATTTTCACTTTGGTTACCACTAGCCATATTTCAGCAACCACGGCCTCTGTATCTAGAGAGTAGTGAAAAACCATACATGTGCATCTGGTATTCTATCCGTTTGTTGCTATTCTAGCTAATCATTTTACTGCTACTAATCCAACAGAAAACACACATTCACATTGATAATGTACTAACTTACTACCACTAATCCAACAGCATACCACTTCCACAGGTGTTTGAAATGGACAGTTAAACATAAATTTTTTTAGTAATAGATTTAAATCAATAGAGCAAAAACAACTTGATATAACTGCAAAGGAAAATACCAATGAAACTGTGTCTGGAAGCGACAGCCATTGATCAAAGAGCTTCTCTGGGATATGAGGGTTTGCTTTGATAGCCATAGGAGACACCTCTGAGAGCTGCAGGAGCTCAGCATCAAGATTCCTCACATCTCCATCAAAATCAACATCCATCACGAAGCCCACAAATCGAAATCTCCTCAAAGCAAATTCGCAGATCTTTGTGTTGTTCCTGTACCATTCAAAAAAAACCCCACACGAACTCCCGAAGAGCGCCTTTTCACATAAACACAGCTCCAGCACAGAGAAAGCGTTGGTTTCCGGCCACAAATTTAGAATTGAAGGATGCAAAAAGTGAATGTCCAAGCAGATTTTCCGAATCGGGATGAATCTATAGAAACATAAACCCTAGGAAGAGATGAAAGAGCAAAAAAAATCGAAACTCAGGAACCCGATTATAAGAATATACAGAGAAAAGCTTGGCCTTGGAGGAAGAAGGCGAGGACGAGGAGGAGATGCAAGTGCCGATGTGAAGAAGACGGAGAAAGGGAATAATAGGGAGCAATAAATTCGACTAATTAATTTATAAACACTCCGTAAAGGAGAAATTAGTCAAAGTTATCATCCTTATAAATACTCTCAATGCACCAGAATTAAATTTGCCGATTTTACCCTATATAAAAAGAGTATGGGTGTGTAGAGCACTAGAGCATCTCCTATGCTATATTATAACCTCACTCTCAAAATAATTCGGAATATTTTTTTAGTGAAAAGATTAAGAGAAGGTATCAAAATAAAAATTTTATATTTTTATTCTTGAAATAAAAGTTAAAATTATATACTCTCTCCGTCCACAAATAAAGTTCCCATTACGCGTTACGATGTTTGACTGAAATTATTTTTAAATCATTTTATATGAAAAATGGCATGTAATTAAAAAATTAAAATTACATATTTAAAAACTACATGAAAAGATCTACAAAACTAGTGGTGACATGACTATACGGAGTATTATTTTATCAAACAAGACACAAAAATAAGCCAACAAAGTAAATAAAGTTTGACCCTATGAATAGTGAACGAGAACTTTATTGTTGGACGGAGTGAGTATATTACTAATAATGATTATGTACATTACCAAAAAATATAGTAAAATGGTTTATACAATGTCATATTATCACAATGCGAACTCATATTTAAGAAAATAAAAACATGAAACTACTATTTTGATATTTTATCTATGTTTTTTTACTCTTATTTATGGTAATTTATATATTTCTAAACGTGTAAAATTTTATTATTTCTAAAATGATTTTATTTACCGATCGACCTAGAAATAAAAAAAATCAAACTTACATCTTCGTATTTAAAAAGTATATCAAAAGTTCTATAAAAATAAAAGAATAATAAAATTTTATTTTATAAAATTATCAATAAAAATTACTGGAATAACAAAATAATAGGTTTATTTGAGAACAATGGAGAATACAATAAAATTATATATAGAAAGTAATCCTAACACAATTAGAAATCAATCCTATAATAGAAACTAACTAATAAGCAAATACTTCCAAAATCAATACTACTACTATTGTTTTTGTTGTTGTTGTATAACACCTCTCCTCAAACTGAGTTTGGCCGAAACAAGAGGAAGCCAGTTTGTTATAACACCAATTGGTTTTAGAAGAGCTGGTAAGGCCTAAGGTCCTACAACATCAACTTTAACTTAAATCAAGATTAGAGCCAGAATTAGAAGCGGGGAGGCACATCTTTAGCTATAGCAGAGTGAATGCATCCAGACTCTGAAAAGAAGAAGGGAAGTTGACGTGGACTCGTAACTACTGGCGTCGAAAAAGAAGAGAAAAGACTATCAGATATGCCTATTCGAATGAAAATCTCAGGTATTATTTGTCTTTTTTCTTAGATCCGGACAATGTGAGAATTTTTATGACTTTCTTAGAGGGTGAGTTATTGAGGTATTCATCGTCTTCATCTATTTCCCCTAATGACTTTGCTTTTGATTTGATTTGATTTGATTTGCTCTGGTCGTATTGTTTCCATAGAAGAAAAAGACAATAGAGATTAATAATTAAGAATGAATTTTTGAGATACAAACAAGTAGACTACGAATAGGTCGTGAAAAAAAGATCAGTTGATGAGATTATGATTTTGTAATAAGGGGAGTTGTCAATCTGTCAACAATGATTTACAGAATAGTTTACGACAATCGTTGGATTGATTAGGATGGTGGTTATAAAGTTTGTTGAGAGAAGAGTTTCCGGCTTTCCGCTCCTCGATCTGATTTCATCGATTTATTACCTTTACGAAAGTCTATATTTTCTGTACGTGTCCTGCAAGCCAATTTTTAGAATCTCAAGTAGCGAAAAAACATACTTCATATTACATCGAAAAGAGATGACGATGATCAATCTATGATGCGGCTATGTCCAATGTCCAATGCTCTTATTCGCACAACTGGACGACGATTATTGAGATATCATTATATTTAAGATGTAAATCATTTTGGGATAAAAAAGTGTAATATAATTATGTGAAATAAAAATAACAAAAAAGGGCTCCAAGAGCTAAAAATATACAACCATCTACAGAGTATTATTAAAGGTCTATCTTCTGCTCCGTCCCAATTTATTATTTCCATTTTGAAGAATGTACAAAACCTCATATCTTTTAAAGTAAATTTTTTACAAATAGAAATAAAAAGTACAAGTGGACAACCAAGCGCAAGAATATTTTTTTTATCCACACATGGTATTAATTTTTGAAGTACTCCACACTAAATAAGACTCTCACACGTTATAAAAAAGATAATAAATACTCTTGAAAAAATAATTAAGGGGTAAACTATGCCAACATTTCAGTCATATGAGGATTTAGGTTTGACATTTTCTTTGGTACAATCGTGATGTCAATTGTGAATTCAAGGCATATAATCACATCTGATCCGCTTCTTCAAAGTGGATATTCAAATTTTTTTCTCTTGGCCAAGCATGCGGACGCGGGGATGACACTTTACTACTATTTTCGTCCCAGAGTATTTGTCTACTTTAACTTTTTTGAATTAAATTGGATGAACTTTGAGGCTCAACTAAGTAAAACCTACAATGTATATTAATACAAAAATGATTTTATTAGACCTAACGTGTTTAGAATTTTCAAAATTTTATTTCATTGTATTAATATGCAATACGAATTGAGAGTAATTGAAGATTAAAGATTGTCTAGTTTGACTCGAAAAAATCAAATTGGACGAATACTCTAGGACGGAACGAATATGACTGTTATGAGACTTGTAGTCTAATATCATCATCAATGGAGTACTATATTACTTTGTGCTACTCCATTTGGGCAATAGGATCCTCTATCTCCCTTTCTTGTCCCAACTTCATATCTCACTCCTAAACTTGACACATAATCCACCCTCATTCCTCATTTAATACAAACCACCTTTAAAGGGTGGTGGGATAAGGAGCATATGTACATACATGGGGTGAATTTGTGTTAAATGAGAGGTGGGAGGTAGGTTTGTGTTAAATGAGCGGTGGAGTGGACTATGTGTTGTGTTTTTAGGGTTTGGACATGAAATTGGGACAAGAAAAAAAAGACTTATCTTGTGCTCTCTCATATCTATTTTTCGCTTTTGATCATTTAAATTCATCACATTTGTTTTATATTTAAATGGAATTATGAAAATTCATGATACTCCGTATTTTTACTCGTCCAACATAAATACCAACTTTGTACTTACAGACTCTCGTAACTAATAGAATGACTGTTTTAAAACGAATAGTATACACGAACAACTAATGGAATGAGGTTCAAATGATACCTAACATGGTTGTCATAATATGACATTTGTTTTTTGTGGGCATTCTACA